CTAACATCAAGTTTCGTCAAATGTTTCATCAAGCCAGCAACTTGATAAAAAACATCATTTGGTACAATTTTACCAACAAATGTTACATCTAGTTTCGAATACTCCACAACAACATTCCTCCACTGTTTCGAAACCAACCCACAACTCATTACAATAAATTTAATTTTTCTCTTTGTTATTTTAACACTTTTGAATGTTTGTTGCGCATTGAGTGATGATACGACAATAACAATGTGGTTGTTTGAAACACAGATTAAGGTTAATCCTAAGAATTTTGCAGGTCAATTTTCCACAAATCAATACTCAACTTTGATGGTTGAGTTTAGGCTTGTGGGAAAGGTTACGTTTGATTTGCAAGTTTCAAACAACTATCTTAAGGATGAGGGGAATAGAAAGGGAATTAGCAGATTTGATTTTATATTTGAGGGTGAAATTGTAAAGAATTCAATTGATTCTGTAAAGATTACATTTAGATATCCAGACGGACTGAATAATGTAGTGTCAAATTCTGTGGATTTTATGTGTTCAGATTATGGTTGGCATTCAATTCATGGAAAGAGGGAAGCAACTTTGACCAGCGTCAGTTATGAAATGCCAATGTCAACCTTTACTGCAGTTCACAACAAATTCATTTTGGGTGTCTATGCTGATCTCTTGCCATCTGAATTAAGATTTGGGGAAAAAATTGAAATATGTGGTCCAAGATTTATCGAAACACAGACAACAGAAGGAAAACTTGAGCTGTCCATTCCACAGAAACCACTTCAAAATCCAGGTTTTATCACTTTCAATCAGGAAAATGTTAAAAATATTGAAAAGGATTTTCCAATCAATTTGAAACCAATCCTGTCATTCAATTTTACAATTGAGAATTTCACCATCTCAACACTTGACTTTAGATTTAGTTTTGATGAAGACATTACTAACTCGACTGAAATACCATCTCTCTTTTGCTCATGTTCATCTAAGTATTATTTCAAGCTGTTGGAATTGGAGAGCTATCGTTCGAAGGTTTATTCCTGTTCTGGTGATGTTAGTAAATGCTCTCGTATCTCACTATCCTCCCCAATGCCATTCAAAATATCACCTGGGAATACATTTGCAAGTGATGATATTAGATATTCGTCTCAATTCCCTTTCATTTTCATCAAATTTGAAAATGTTCACCCGACAGCTCCTTATTCATTGGATTTTAAAGGATATGACGCGAAAGTGTCCATTAATGCAATGGACAGAATTGGTTCTTCCATATATCAATTACAGATTCCGCTTTCTAATGTTGTTTTGACAAGGATAACTAGTTATTTCTTGACAATCCAAATGAGAGGAGTGTGGAACAAGAGAGTATCTCTGTCTCATCCAATTCAAATATTACCACAAAGTGACTATGAAACTATGTTGAATGAAACGTTATTGCAACAAACTCAATTAATTGCAGTTTCAAGCGGTCTTGGATTATCAGTACTATTGAACTGGGTTTTACTTTTTATAGTTTGTGTATTGGGTTTTATTGTGTATAGAAATAGAAAATCCGATTTACTAATGCACGAACAAATAAATTAAGCAATCAAATTGTGATTTATTGATTGTCTTGAAGCTTGTGGAACATTGAAGGATCACTTTCAATAACTGGCTTCTTCTTTCTACAGAGAACGACAACCAAAATCATACAAACAATTAGAACCAAAAAGAACATTGGAATGGTTACAGATAAAATGATAATTGCGTTATCATCCAGAGATGAGCTATAATCAACATTCAATATAATAACAGCACCTTCAGCAAAAACTGGAGCAATGGAAATGTAATAATCGAGTGGACCAACTTCCTTATTTTCAATTGTAACAGTAGTTTCCTTATTATCAATGGACTTTCTGGCGATATTGACAGTTTCAGTAGGGAAGCCTCTACTATTAACAAACAATGTTGCAGTTTCTCCTTGATAGAGTGACTTGGCAGAAATGGTAAACTTGACACTAGAAGGAACAACAACCTTGAACATCTTCTTATTACCATATTCAACCTTTTCTCTAAAGGTTTGACCAAAGGTCATGTCAGTAACTTGAACAGGAACGGATTCCTTTGGGGCCAATCTAGCAATGATCATTGGATAGACACATGTTGTTGGATCTTCAATCTTACAAGTCAACTTATCGGTACTAACTCTGCTTTCCACTTTTTGATAAATTTCATCAGAGTTTGCAGTACAGGCACATGTAAGACTTGATGGTTGAATTTCAACAGGAGTCTTCTCGTCATTTAAAAAAAATCCAACAGTGGCATCAAAACTTAAACTCCAAGTAGAACCAGAAAATGTTGGAGGATCAACAGAAGTGGAGAGTTGATAAGAGTGGAGAGAAACATAACCCTTTGGAACAGCAGTCGGTTCAAAATCATTATATTCAGACAAAGTAAAGGTTGGAGGAGTCTTGGCTGGCTTTTGATTTGGGAATGCAATAATAAGGGATTGACTCATACTTGGAAGAATGTCAAAGAGGAAAGTTGTTGGACCTGGAACAGTATTTGACTTGTCAATTCTAGATTGAACTGATTGAGCTAAATCACCATACAAACCAGCAACCAATAAATTTTGTGTCAACAAGTTGTTATAATTAGTTGCAATCATGACAGAATCAGAAAATGCATGAGATTCAGCATCAACAAATTCTCCCATCAATGTAGCATCAGCCTTCTTGTAAAATATCATCGAGAATGGATTAACATTCAAGAAACCACTAGGATTACTCAAAACAACTGTAATATCTAAACTTCCAGTGTTTGGATCAAAATCTTCAAAAGTAATCTTGTACAATCCATAAATCTTCAAATTAGTAGTAGCTGGAGTATGAAGTGTTCCGAATGGATTGGGTGATAAAGTCTCAGCAGTGAAAGCAAATCGAGAGGCATTCATACCAACATTAATATTATAATCAAACGAGACTTGTAAAGCACATTGTGTTTGTTGAATCACAATAGGAAAATTATATTGAACAAAATCATTCACCACCATATTCTTTGTACCAAAGGTAGAATCAATCTTTACCTTTTGTGCCTCAATCAAGTGGCCGAGAATCAACAATAGACCACAACACAAGACGAGGAGGCGTGATGATGAGGCTTTCATCGTGAATTTTTTTTTGTATAATTTTTTTTAAGGCTGAGGGCGCTTGTTGGCCCTTTCGATACTGCTAGCGATAGGTCTCTGCCCCAAAAAAAATTTAAGCGCTCAGATTATCAGCCTTACTACATTGTGCACCTTCATTGGGTTGGAAGAAGCTCTTTGAATAGTTGTTCAGAAAGTAAAAAGCCCATCACAATTAAGAGTGAAGATGGTCAAAGATGGATACATTAATAATAGGTTTTATAAATTAATTCTTTGATAAGAATTTCTTATTGAGCAAGTGAATGGTCATGTTGACATTGAGCACAACACCTTCAATCTTGAGATGTTCTTGACCCTTTTCACGCTTATCGAGCAAATCTTCCAATCTGAGTTGGAGAGTAGTAATGACATTACCAGCAAGTGTTGGACAAACTGAGAAGACACCTGGTTCTCCTTCGTTCATTGAAATTGTAAACTTGATAACCTTCTTTTGGAGAGTACCAAATGAACCTTCTTGAATGTCGTGGATAATCTTGTACTTTTCAGACAAATCCTTATAGCTGAACTTGTAGCTCTTTACCTTGTTGCTCTTGGATGAAGATTCTTGCTTCTTCTTTTCTTGCTTCTTGAAATAGTTTCTGAGAGTTTGTTGAACGTATTCATCCAAGCTGACATCCTTGTCCTTCAAGAATGAGTGATATGATCTCAAACTGTTCAAACTTTCCTTCAATCTTTCCACTTCCTTTTGTTGCTTCTTTTGGAGTTCTTCACGATTTTGAATTTCCTTAGTGATATCGATCAACAATTTACGGTAGTGATTTTCCTTGGTAATGATTTGAGCTTCATCCAATTTTGGAAGGGCCTTACGAATTTCTTCGACCTTTCTCTTGATTGTCAAACCAGCAACTTCATTGTCAATATTTTCAGTATTCTTCAATACTTCGTCAGCATAAGAGTCAGACTTTGACAAGGTATCCTCAACGGTTTCTCCCAATTGAAGTGGAGTAATGTAACGAAGAATAGTTCTAACATTTTCCTTTGTAACTTCGTACAATTGTTCTGGTGAAAGTGTGAGCCAGTCATCAGTGGCTTCAGCCTTTCCATTGACACTGAATGGGACAAGAGACAATGTAATTTCTTCATTCTTGGCAGTTTCAACTTGTTCTGGAATCTTATCCTTGAAACGAGTGAGGAGGTCAGAAAGTGGATCGGCAGCTTCACCAGTTGGGATGATTCTTCCGCTGAACTTGACAAGGAGAGAGTGAGTAAGGGCAATTTCATTAATAGTAATGGTAATGCTTGGATTCTTCTTTTGAGTAAGTTCAGCATATTGATTGACACCGAGATATTCTTCTGGTTCAACGATTTCCAAACTTGGAGTCAAGAACTTTTGGCTAAACAATGGAATATTGTCACGAATCCATTCGTTCATCATTAACATGTGAGTATCCACGGCTTCAAATTCTCTGAAGGTAGAAATTCTCAACAAGACCTTTGAAATGAGGGCAAGATTGTTTCTCATGAGTGGAGAAATCTTCTTCTTTGTCAAATTGTAACCATCAGGAGTACAAAGTGGAGCGTTCAAATAACGGAAGAAGAGAACGTATGAAATGACTTGGTTAATCTTCTTTTCATCATCGTGATTTGGATACTTTTGCATGAGCAAAGTTCTCAATTGACGACAAACGAAACGTAAACCATATGGCAATTCAGGAATGTTATCATAGATACAATTGAGAATTTGTTCACAAATCTTGATCAAGCTGTTCTTTCTAGAATTGATGGCATTACGAACATTTTCATCAGCTTCCATAGCCTTTTCATAGGTCATTTCCTTAAAGTCAATATTGCTCTTGATACCAGTTTCAACTTCCTTTTGAGAGACAATATCACGGAGAAGACTGATTGGGTTAAGATCCAAGTTGAGATCCTTTTCTTCGAGGATAGGATCCAAAATCTTGTCGTACAAAACCTTTTGCAAGAAGGTCTTTCCTGAAATTCTTTCGTGACAATAAGTAATCAACAATTTGATGAGAATTGGGTTACCAGACAAGAAACTTTCCAATGTGGAACTCTTAACTTCGAGTTGGAGAGTTTCATTGAACAAGTTCAAAATCAAATATTCTTCACGAGGATTGAAAGCATAACCGTACAAGGTCAAAGTGACAGTATTGAGGAATTGATCAACATCTGATGCAGGAACGAGGAAAATACACTTGGCAAGATACTTTGGATTAGTTTGAAGCAAGTAGAACAAGTTACCATAGAGACTGATATTTTCCTTAATCATGGCATCAGCAGCAGAGGTAATTCCAAGAGGTCCACCGAATTGCATAGTCTTACGACGTTGGAAGTAACCAATAATACCACTCTTTCCTTGATTCATGATTTCTTCAGCACGATACTTGTTTTCAGCAAGGAGAGCAATCTTTCTTTCCTTATCTCTGACATCAGTACTAATCTTGGTGTTTTCACGAAGTTGTTTAACCAATTCTTGTCTGAGAGCTTGGATTTGTTCAACCAAGTTATCAGTCTTTTGTTCAACACGGAAAGCATTCATGAGGGCAGAGAGTAAATCGTGATCAAGAATAGTTTCAACATTGCTTGCATCTTCAATATTTGGTGGTGAAACGAAAACACCAGCATCCAAAATGTCATTATTCTTGACAAGTTGACCATTGATAACAATTTCGAAACGATTCTTACCGGAGGCCTTAGCAACATACTTGACAGTGTATGAACCATCCTTATTGTCAATAACTTCGGCAGCAGATTCGAGCTTACGAGCATCAGAAATGAGAGTAGCCTTAACATCATCTCCTCCTTGGTGTCTCAAGTTACCAAATTCATCTCTCATTCTCAAAACAAAGAAACTTTCCTTTCCTTGAACAGCATTAGTAATACCAGTACCAGAGAATAAAAGATTGTGTGGATCAGTAATTGCAGCATCAGTGACAGTAATTTCTTGTGGGAATGATTTGATCAATTGAGCAGCAGCTGCCTTTTCTTGTTCAGTGACTTCTGGAGCAAGTTTAGACTTGTCAACATATGCCAATTCCATATAGTATGATTGAGCAATCTTGGCAGTGTAGACAATTTCAAAGAGACCCTTTCCTTGAACGAATTTTTGTGAGGAGGCAGACACTGGAATAACTTCAGTAGATTGTTCTGATTTTTGTTTTGGAGTGAGTTTCAATAAGAATTCATCACTTTCTACAATGTTACGAGCATTTCCAAACTTGTCACGAGCTTGAACAATAATGTGCATTTCACGACCAGCATGGAACTTTTTGAAAGTATCGGAAAAATTGTCTGGATTTTCATAATCATCCTTCTGGAGATCCAACTTGAGTGAGCTGTTTGGAACAACAACAGTATTGGAAACACTTTCACCCTTGGAGAAACTTTGAACAATTGCACATTGACTAGCATCAGTGAGACCATTATCAGTAATGTGAACAGTGTGAGCTGGACCAACAGCGTAGAGAGTTGGCTTTGATTTGGATTCAGAGTCAGTTTCGGCAGTTGATGTGGAAGTACAATCTCCTTGTAACAAGTTACATTGCAAAGAATAGTCTCCACTTTCGACCAATTTAGTTTCAACAAGGTACAAACCGTGATGACCATTTTCAGAAACAAACTTGGACATGGTTTCAAAGAGTTTCTTTTCCATTTCTTGAGAACCATTGAACTTTTGGGCATATTGTTCAAGACCCAACAATACACTCAATTCAGAGTCGTTCTTCATGTGTGGAATCTTGACAATTGTAGAATCAACAGCAACACCATCGGATTGAGTACCTGATTCACCAAGTTTCTTGGCAACCATGGCAGTTCTTGGAGTCATCAAAACAGAGTCAATATTTTCAATAGTTGGTGAATCAGAGCTTTCCAAACAAGCAATAACAGTCAATTGTTCAGAGACGAGTTGTGGAAGAGTGGATTCATTAGTTCCATCAACTTCACGATTGTTACCATATTGGTCACGAGCTTGAACCAAGAATCTAATGACATCGCCTGCCTTTCTTTCCAATTTAACAATATTTTCCTTCTTTCTCAAAGATAAGACCTTGTTGGACTCGCTGCCATTATCTTCAAGCAAGTGAAGCAAATTGCTTTCCAATCCAATGAAGAGACAATTGTTTGGATCAGTCTTACCAGAATCATGAATTGAGACTGGAATACGAGTTGAGGAGAGGTATTCATCACCACGAGTAACTTCCAATTCATAAGAACCAGATCTTTCAATTTGGAAGATGAATTGATAGAGACCATTCTTATTGTCCAAAACATTAGAATTGAAAACAACAGACTTGTCAACAGTGGAAATGAGCTTGGCAGCGAATTTTTCACCTCCAAGACCAATATTTCCGCATGAGTCTCTACTTTCCAAGATGAGATCATCAATAACTTGACCAGCTCTATATACTCTCTTGGCATTATCTCTTTGTTGTTTGAGTACACATTTTGATAGATCAGAAACAGGGTTTGCTGTAATCTTGACTTTCCAAGCACCATCTGATGCATTCTTATTTGTAATGTTACCTACAACATCACCCAATTCATCATCAAAGAGAGAAATGGTCATGACATAGTCACCAGCAACTTGAGGAGTGTAGCTCACTTCAAAAGTACCATCTCTATTATTTTTGACGTTTGCATTGAATGTTGTTGATCCTGATTGCAATTGAACTTCAAATTTGTCTTGGCAACCCTTTAATAAATTACCATCTGAATCAAAAGCTGTGATTGTGAATTTTGATTCCACACCACAAATGGCTGAATTTAACTTATCTCCATCTACTTTACAATGATCTGGATCGGCCAAACTAGTGACGTATTCTCTAATTTTGTCTGATCTAACATCAGTGTCACAATCTTCGCTACTTTCACCTTCATCACCTTCAATCATGGAATCATCAAATTTGATACCAGAATTTTCCAAATCATCAAGCATTTTCTTTGTACGTTCCAAATCTTCCCTAGAAATATTGAGTGACTTGAGTCTTTCCATCTTGATTGACAAACCATTTGTGTATAAGTAAACAGAAAGTGAATGGAGACAATGCACCACTTTGTAAACATTCTTCAATTCCCACAAATCGGTAACCTCTATATTGTAGTATTATATTATCATCAATCATCATCATATCACACAACCATCATTCATATGAATCATAACAAGTAGTCATCATCACAAAAATTATCAATACACACAACAAGTAAACAATACAAATATGAATAAAAATCACTTCAAAAAAACAAAACATACCAAAAAGATAAATCTCTCTAAAACCAGTTGATTTACAAGCATTCAAAAATTGAGTAATATTATCAACCAAGGAAAATTCCAACTTGATCGCATTCTGACTAGGCTTGTTGATTTTTTTTACGTGGGTTGGCGCGAAAATTTTGGCGAGCTTTGCAAGGGCCACACCATCTCTCATCATTTCACCAAAGTAGGCAATGGATGAGCCTTGACCGAATTTTTCCTGAATCATTTCTTCAATCCAACGTTTGGCTTCTTCAGAACGGAGAAGAAATTCGTAGGCTCTTCTCTCAGCGATGGAAAGATCCATCTTGGTTTGATTGGACATTTTGTTTAGTTTCTTTCTTCTTGTTATTAGAATGTAGTGGAAACAACAGGCTTGTTGTTTAATGTGTAGAAAGAGTAATTACTACCACAGATAAAAACGTTAGAAATTGTTCTTGTCGTTTTGATGGAAGAACAACACAAGGGGTTGAAATCTAGATTTTTTTTAATTAAAATTTTTAAAAAAGAACAAATTGTTGATGGCTGTCAATATGTGAAAAGCATGTTGATTGATGATTGGCAATTAGGGAATAAGGACGAATGAGATGACAATACTGCTTTTTGGCACCTTTATTGAACTGTCAAACACAATTTTAAGTTGAAGAGTCAAGTTGGAACTTTTCAGTACACCAATTACAACCTTAAACTATTGCCTTGTGGTTGGTGTTTGCCCCTTATCAGCTGAAATTAATACGCTTAGTCAACAACAAAAGAATACAATCCAACAATAGATAACAAATCACTTACAAGAGACTTGAAGAGAAAATAACCAAACAAAATAAACAAAAGTACAGAGAACTCATTTTTTAGTGGTGTTACCGTCGATAGAAATCCAAATGTTTATCAGTGGAAAGAAAGCCTGTTAAACACTTTTGTAACACTAATGGGATTTATAGTAGTCAGTGAGGAATTTGTACATTCCGAAGTTGATCATGAATGTAATTTAGATGAAACTTTGAAAATTCATCATCAAATATTGGATTTTTAAATAATATTGATGAAGAGGAAAATCAAGTGATAATAATGAATTCCGAAATATTCATAACCGTTCAAAATTAACAAGAGAAATTTGAGTTTGATTATTTCCAAAAATCGGAACAAAATTGTCTTCATTTCTTAAGATTTGGTTGTTGAACAATTCGGATTGGATTTGTCAACAGTTTCAAAGAAGAACATTCTATTGGATTTTCAAAGAGTTGTATGAAATTTAATTCCTGTTATTTGGTGGATCATCATTTATATCTAGATTAAGGGATTTATGTTAGAGTTGAATTGTCGCCTTTTGTTCCAATTTATTGGTCTCTGTTTAGATTACAGTAATTGACCTGTCCCCAAAAAAGTGATCTCCAACTTGCGGGTACATTGGAAGTTGTGACACAAGTTCCCTACTCTATTTGGAGCCTTGAATGAATACAGCGTTGAAGGAAATGGTTATTGGTTAATATGGCAGGAGAAACTTGTAGGAATACACCACTATATTGAGGCTTAAGCAACGAGAAGAGGCACACTGTTCGTGCTCGTGGATTGGCCTTTTAGGTTGTGTACAATGAACCAAAATTGTGTTTTATTAGATGGCGTTTTTTTATTCCTGACAAGAAATAAGGTTAATGATGAGGAGGAGGAATAATTCAAATCATCTCTCAAATGGATCCTTCCCCATTTGGACTACAATAAGAGTCAAACAAGTTTTCAAGAATTGCAACCATTTCGCGTAAATCACAAATTCACTAAGGACACCCACCCAAGCCTTTGAAGTTTTAGGTCATTTCACACAAATAAGTTTCTTTTCAGTGCATAACAATGAATCATCCTCGCAACATTCTAACTTCCCAAAGAGGTTAGCCTTAATGCAGTGGCAATCAATTCAAATTGCATCTCTAGAGAATCTGGCAGTGTATTAATATACTTTGGACACGAAAATTTACATATGTAAAGGGCTAAGAATTCATTCACTTAAGAGAATCTCTTTTACTTTTCAATTTCCACAATATGTTCGTGCTTTGTTGGAGAGAAAACACCAATTTTGTAGATTGCTGGTTTTGGCTTTTTGGCCAATATTTAGAATCTCTAAAGAGAAATTATCCTCAATAGAGCGGAGGTCGTGAGGTATGCTGTGAACATCAAATGGTGTGAATATCCTTTTCGATACACGCAAAAAGAAACCCAACAAAAAACATACACTGCAACCACCTCTCAACATGCTACAACGAGTGGACATATTGAGGTTAAATAAGGCCAAGTGCCTCTCTAACAGCCTACCTCATTCTCATCATCAGGCAGCAAGAGGAAGACCACAACAGCAACATTTCAGAGCATTCTACTCTTCCTTCATCACAACAATATCAATCCTCCTCCTAGTAACACTTTTAATAATGGTCGAACTGAACGGCTCGTCGTCAACAACAGCAATATCGCCGAAACGACCTTGGGAAGACACTGTGCTGTGGAATAACGAACAGGAAATATGGTTTGCACAGTCAGCTCCACTCACTGGCCTTTCTAAAAAGTAAGTTCTATGCATTGGAAAGAACATGTAATTATTTTTGAAATTCCCTTAATATACTTTCTTTCTTCATGATATTGTTACTTTAGATTGGGAACTGAAATGAGAGATGGAATTTTAGCGGCTTTTGAAGAAGTTAATTCTATGGGAGGAGTTTGGAATAACAAAAAGCTGAAACTCTTAACTTTGGGTATGTAATATTGTTGTTCGGTCGGTATTTAATTTATATTATTATGTTTTGGGTATTGAATACATTGAATACATGAACGATGAAAATAATGTAAACATGTGATAAAATTGTACAATTAGATGATGCCTATGAGCCTACCAATACAAAGATTAATACCGACTTCTTTCTCTATAATACAACACCCCCTACCAGCTCGCTTATTTATCAGCCTTACCTTAACTCATCATCTCCTCAATTTATTACAAGTGTAGATGTTAGTAAAATATTTGGATTAATTGGATATGTTGGTAAGTAGTAACAGTTCCTCTGTTCTTATTTAATCTAAACTACCATCATCACCTATTTATTCCTCCATATACATGTTATTAATGAATTGAATATTGATATAATAGGAACACCAACTGTTAGTGCAGTCTTTCCAGATGTTACTAAAACTTCCATTCCACTTCTTGGTTCATTCACTGGAGTTGGTTGGCTTAGAACACCTTTCTATCCAAATGTTATTAATTTGAGAGCTTCGTATGATGATGAAACTGCTGCCATGGTTGATTGGCTTGTAAATACCAAACTCATCAGAAGAATTAGTATCATGTATCAGAATGATGCCTTTGGTATTGCTGGTTTTAACGGAATTAACAGATCCCTCGTCTCACGAATGAACATTTCACTCTGCTCTACAGGTCTGTACACTAGAAATACATTGGCAGTTGAAGATGCCTTCTATACGATTGGAAAGTGTAATCCTGAGGCAATTGTACTTGTTGGAACGTATGCTCCACTTTCAAAATATATCAAAATGGTAAAGAATGTGGCCTTCTCTGCTAACGGAACAAATTACGGATATGAAAAGGCAAGTGAAATGATATTCTTGACAGTTAGTTTTGTTGGAAGTGCTGCCCTGACTGATGATTTGAATCAATCCCCTTTGCCTTCTTTAAAATTTGCATCGACATATTATACGGATAATGTTATCATTTCACAAGTCGTGCCGAGTCCAATGGATTTGACAGTACCAGTTGTGAGGTCTTATCACAGAGCTAGAAAGGCTTATCTGAAAGCAACTGGAAAGGACGTTTCTACCTTTCAACCAACATTTATTGAACTCGAGGGTTATTTGACTGGAAAGCTTGCCTATTCAATGCTCAAAACTATTATAGGTGATTTAACAAGATCAAATTTTATTGCAACATCTTACATTGATTATACTGCAGGTAATTCTGAGACTAATAATGGTGGTTCATTTGTTTTTGATGGAACCAAGGTCAATTTCAAATGGTGTGAAAGTGCCAATGTCTATGATCAATATTTACCATTCTCTGCCAATGCAACATCTGTTAGTTGTGCTTCAAATTGCAATCAAGGACTCAAGATTGTTTATTTGAGTTCTGTTAATATTGGAAAAACACCATACGTTTCCAATGTTTCATTCTCAGTTTTTAAACAACTTTCATGGTACGAATATGGATCTTGCATTTCAGATACATCCATTCTCAAGAAACCAATAATATTTGGTCAATCCATTGAAAAAGAAAATCTTCAAGATGAAATGTTAAGAAAGGGAATTCAAGCTGCTTTCAAGAGAAGAAATTCCAAAGTTTCCTCTGACAAATTGCAAATCGAATTGAAAACTCTTTATCACAACGATTCTAGTTCACTTCTCTTCAACACAAGAGAATTAAAGAATTTGCATGAATCTGTTGCATTGGTTGGTTTCACAGAGGGTGTACTCAATTTGGATGGAATTAATAATGCACAAACTCTTGATATCAAACAAAACAGTGAGTATTCAGATATTGCTAGTGTGATTGCTGCTACAAATTTGAGAACTCTTAGGAGCTCGTTCTATTCTCCTGTTATGAATTTACACTTGACATTGACAGAACAATTGGGAACTTTAATTACTTATAGTATGAAACAAGCTCAATCTAGAATGAGTGTTATTTACAAACCTGATTGCCCGTATTCAAGTGAAGCTTTCCAAACATTTTCCACCATGATGAATATTATTAATTTGAATATTGACAGTCAATCTTCTATCATCAATTCAGATTCAGGCCTTAAATCATTGGATACAATCATTGATGAATTGACTAGTAATGCCAATCCACAAGTTTTACTCATTACTCTCTTTGATAGTTATGATAGCATTGTATCTATACTTTCAAAGATTCAGCTCACCTACACAACCAATCCAGTTTTCAGAAAGGGATTGAGTATTTATCTGATTAATTCTTATTTTTCTGATCATGTAGAAACCAAGATGAAATCATTCTTAGCAGCTAACGTGAATCCATCCTCTCCATTCCAAGTTTTCTATGTTTCTCACATCCCATCATTTTCATCAAGCTCAAATTCATTTGTTACAGAGTTTAACAAGGTAATCAAGGATTACTATCCTTCGGATTCATCAGTTTGGGCACACAAAAGAACTTTGGAAGGTTATTATATTGGAAAATTTATTACCACAATAGTGGATACAGTGGGAAATCAAATTACCAAAAAATCGTTTATGGATTATGTCTATACTCAATCTGTAATTAAGGAATCTGAAACTGGTATAACTTTTGGAGCGTTTTCTAAATCTGCCACCAATCCATGTAATTTGGGATTGAGAACTGGGTTTTTATACTCCTATTCCGGATCTGTTTTTACTGAGACATTTACCAAACAATATGATACAGCTTCTTGTGCATTCCAAGATTATAAGGGAACCTATAGAAGAAGTGGATTGGCAGATTCCATTTCTAGTGTAATTTCAAAACCAATTATATTCGGTCGTCTTATTCCCTATGATGATGACAGTTCCACAAAGGCAGGAAAATTGGATTTGATATCTGAGGCACCTCATTCATATGATGCCTATTCAAGAGGTCTTCAAACCTATCTCACTGTTTACAATTCCAAAGCATCTCAAAAAATTGAAATTCACACAGAATATTTTTCTGGAGAAGTTGAGAAATATGGTCTCGAATACAAGTTACAATCCCTTTCCACAAAACAGGGTGTATTTGGCTTTTTTGGAAGTAATTTGAGATTGAGTGTTGATCAATATGGAAATGTGACGGATATTTTGAAAAAGTATCAAATTCCAATGTTTGTCTTGGCTGGTTCGCTAGAATATAGAAAACCATACTCTAAATACTTTATTAATTGGAGACCATCAGTATTTGATGAAGTAATTGCCCAAATGAAATATTTTAAGCAAACCTACGGACAAGCTTCAATTCTCTATTCACCAATTGGATATTATACAACAAAAACAATACCATCCATTAAGGAATATATTGAGAATTATGATGTTGGATTGGAAGTTTTTGATGTTGTGAGTAATCCAACCTCAACTGCAATCCAACTTTCCAATCAAAATATTGAGGCAGTCATTATTCTTGCTCATGAAACAGAATCAATATCTTGGATTGAGGCTATTCTCAGTTTTAATCCGACCATCAAGATTGCTATTCCTTCAGAGACCTATAGTTTACTGTTTGAAAAGGGATTGAATAATTTATATACCAAACATCCTGACATGTCCACAAATTTCCTCATTGTGCCTAGAATCAATATTGCTCCAGTTGTCAAACAGGAATCTGTCTGTAGCAGTGTTGAAACCATTCAATCTGAAAAGAAAAAGACATTTATCAATCAATTTTTAGCCAATTACCAATATTCTGAACCAGCAACTCATGAAACATTGGAAGGTTACCTGTTTGGTTTCTTTTTGGAAACTGTTTTTACCAGAATTTATCAAGAAAAATTTACCTCCACTGTTACCTTACCTGATTTCTTCAGTACAATCTTTTCAAATTATGTTTACGATATTGCTGGACTAACAACTATGGGCCCATTTGGTTTGGAATGTTCCTCAACTAATAATGTAGCCAATATCACTGTTGCAACAGGTGATTGTGCAACTAGTTATTCATCAGCAAGTAGCTCTTGTGATTGCAATCAAGGACCTCGATCTGTTTTGCTCTCTTCTCTCAATGTTGAGAATGGTACAACTTCATTCACTGATATTTCCTTTGATTTTTCATTTAGTACATGTGGAGTTGCCATTGTTCCACCAGCAGTCACTAAGCTTCAAATTGCAATGATTGTTCTATCTCTTGTAATATTCTTCTCAATTCTAGGATGTATTGGTATCATATATTGGAGATATCTCAAGACAAGACAAGGAAACACAACATATGCTCCAAAGACTGGTAATATTGCTTGTGCATTCACAGATGTTCAAAATAGCACTGTTCTTTGGGAAGCTGATGCCAAGGCCATGAGAGAAGCTTTGAAATTACACAATGAAGTTCTCAGAAAGAATTTGGAAGCCTTCAGAGGATTTGAGGTCAAGACAAATGGTGATAGTTTTTATGTGGTATTCAAGAGTGCTGTCGATGCTTTGGATTGGAGTATTGCCTGTCAACATGATTTGATGGCATGTAATTGGCCTCCTGAATTACTTCAACAATGGGATTGTAGAACTCAATGGAATGAAAAGACAAAGGAATTAATTTGGAATGGATTGCGAGTTAGGATTGGTCTTCATTTTGGGCAAGCAGAACAAATATTTGACAAGACTATGAGAAGACCAGATTATTATGGAACAACCATTAATACTTCTGCAAGAATTGAAGCAGCTGCTCATGGTGGTCAAGTTCTTATTAGTGAGGATATGTTTAGAGAATTGTGGAGAAGACAAAACGTACTTATGGAGCTTTAAGAAATGTAGATTTTGATGAAATTGAAAAACAAGATTCAGCTCAATCTTTACCAACTCCAACTGGACATCAATCAACTCACAAGAAGGAATTAAAGGATGAAGAAGTTCAAGAAATGGAAATTCACACCTTTTCAAATACAGCAGGCAATACAAAGAAGAATCGAATCGTTCCACTTGTTGAAGGTCCAACTCCCAAATCATCAGGTTCTCTTTCACATCGAAGCAGTGATAATGGCAGTACCAAACATTTACAATAAATAATTTTCACACATTTTTCACACTTTACAAAAATTAGCTAAGCTGTACACGATGTACATCCTCGGGAGTGAGGAATAATTTAATGTCCTCCAACGAATCAAACCTTCAAAGTTCTTCTTTCATTACAATAAGTTATATTTTCCCGAGATGATTTTTCGCACTGAAAACTTTAAGCTTATAAAAAAAATGCATCGACACTACTTTAAAACAATCTTGGGCACGACGACCACTCTATTGGCAGGAAGTTTGGGATATTTTGCTAAAAATAGCGAACATGATAATAACAATGAAGAGAATAATTCAATGAGGAATATGATGAATGTAAATCATTCGTTCATGATTCAGGCAGAAGACGTTCAAGAACATTATTTTCCCTTCCGATCGGAAAGTGAAGATTTAGAATTGATCAAGGTTCAAATTATTAATCGACACGGAGCAAGAACACCCATAAATTCTCTTCCGAATTACATTGATAGTACTCCTTGGAAGTGTCTACCTTTTGAGTCGATTTCTGGATTGGATTATGGTAAATTTAATACAATTTTTGAAAAGGATGGATTGGATTTGCTTGGAAATTGTATGAAGGGACAATTGACTGAGGCAGGAGCTATTCAAATGTTTAAAGTTGGAGAACATTTGAGAGAGGTGTATTTTAAAAAGTTATTTGCTATTGATGGTGACAAGGTGATGGATTATAAGGATATTATTAATAGTATGTATGTGAGATCGAGTGATATTAGAAGTAGAAGAACTGAATTCTCACTCATGTACTTGTTGCAAGGATTTTTAGGATCGAATCAAGCATACTATCCAACTATTCACATGTATGAAGAAGGTGAGTTTCTTTGTGTTTCGAATAATTTAATTTATGGAAAACAATAGCAAGAGAAACATTGTATGGACACTTTAAGGTTTGTGCCAAGTTGGGTGGAATAATTTCGCAAAGAATTAAGAAATTGAATGAAGATGGAGAACATGATGCAGGTCTCCAAGATATCAAGGCAAGATTGTTGGACTTGTTCTATGCTAATGAGAAGAATATTGTTGAAGAGCAACCACAGAGTCAACCTCCACACGAAAAGGGCTTGTTGGAATCGAAGCAAATTAGACAAGTCAGAGATTTTCCACAGTGGTAAGTTCCATTATTAGAGTTATCTTATATTTAATTTTAATTATCAAGGGAATCTTTGAATAATGCATTTGCTGGAATGTTGTTCCATGGCCATTCATTACCAAAGGGAATTACTGAAGCTGATTATGATTACATCAACAAAAGAGTTGGAGCAAGTGGATTTGTACTTTTTGGTGGAATGGATTTGTTGAGAATGAATAATGGAATGTTGGTGAAGGAACTTGTTGATTCAATGAAAAAGTCAATTGATACAAGTAAGGATCTTGATCGTAGGAGATTGGAAATTTATTTAGGACACGACACTACTCTCATTCCATTGTTGGTTACTTTGAACTTGTACGATGGTGTTTGGCCTCCTTTTGCTTCAACATTGGTTTTTGAATTGTATGTTAACAAGTTGAAACGTGGTCAACACTTTGTAAAGATTGTGTTCAATGATAAGATTATGCATTTTGATGCAAAGGATTCAATTATTCAAGATGCTAAATCAGGTTTAGTACCATTTGAAGAATTTGAAAGGATTTTGAAACCTTACATGGTCAATTATAAGGAATGGAAAGAATTATGTAAAGTAAATAAGTAAATGTATTATTTATCAAAGTTTCCTTTCTTATTTAAAAGCAATAAGAAATTCCGCCATTCAATGATCAAACAGTCTGAAATCTCTTAGTGAACTAACTTTTGTTTTATAATTTACATTGATTTATTTCTTGTCTTGAGAAGTTTTTTGAACTTCCTTAGTTTCTGTTGATGTTTTTTCAGCTTCTTCCTTCTTTTCAGCTTCCTTTTTAGATTGTTTAGCTTCAATTTCTCTCATTTCAATCTTGTTATTGATCAAATCATGGAGAGAAACAATGCAACGAATGACAGAACCCAAGTACATTGCCAAATATGTATCGTTAGTCTTCTTGACGAGGGATTGCTTGGTGTCAGTAGTGTGCAAACCAGGGAGTAAATTGAAAACATCTTGCAATAAATATAAAATGTTGTGATTGACTGGCATTTTACCGGTACTGACTTGAGAAAGATAGGTATTAACTTCAGATAATCTTCCTCTGAGAGCCTTCAAACTTGTCATTCTGTTCGAAACAGCTGAGGCAAGGTCAGAAATTGTGGTATCCTTAACATCACGAAGCAAGTGTTCAACACCAATTTCTTCAGCTTCCAAAGCTCCGATTTCTGATGACAAGTGAGTAAAGGTGAGTTTTGGTTGAGATTGTTGATCTTCTCTTTCTTCAACAGCAACATAGGCGTCAGTAGGTATTACATTTTCTTGTTCTGGATTTACATCAATAATACAATAGGTTGGATGAGGAAGGTATTTTTCCTTGATGATTTGATGAATTTCAATATCGGATTTTCTAATCTTTGGTCCAGTACTATACCAACCAACAACCTTTTCCTTAGCTAGTAAATTTTAATCCAATTTTAATCAAGATTTGAATTATTTGATATTTTAAAATTGTTATTGTTGTTGTAATAAATTGAAATTATTCGACGTCATTAATTTTGAAAATCCAACAATAAAATCACAACAGAAAGATGAAAATAGATTTGGTAAAAATTGGCTTAATTCCAAAAAACATACCAGTTACTTTTCTGAACATTGCCAACATGGATTCAAGGAAACTGTGATCAAAGAACCAAATTGTTGGGTCCTTGCTATCTTCCTCAAATGGAATAGCAAAACTGTTTGTAACATCAACTACTCCGTCCTTTGTAATTTCTCCCAACAAGACACCAGCAACTCTATTTGATGTATCTTTGGCAACTCTATTATAATGATCTACAACACTTAATAATACAAGAGGGTGAACTACAAGCTTTGTTGGAAAGGCTGGGAAATCCGTGTAATCAACACTGGAACGTTGTGCAGCAAGTTTAGCAGCGTGTGGATCGATATGTTGTTGGCTCATTTTTTTGATTAATTTAAATAATACAACATTAACGTTCTAAAAATACTTTTATTTTTCCAGCCATCATATTTTTTCATCAAATAAATAATTTTCATTCCGATAGAGTTTCATGAAGCAAGATTTTCGAATTCATGAACAAGACATGATACTTCAACAATCATCATAATAAACTTACTCGAATCATACATTGGTGTATTGGATGAATTTTCATTCAACACCAAAATAAAAAAAATGTTGTAAAACCTCATGTAAACGCGCAACGTTCTCATCATGGTCGTCAATATTCAAATTCTATCGCTCGAGTATTCGATGTGTACTCCACAGGCGTTATTTGATGATAGGAAGTGTTGGTTTTTTGCAAATAGACAAATAGATTTAGTGCCAATTATGCACGTGTATGGCACAGTGCAGGAAACAAAACAAAAGGCTTGTCTTCATGTTCATCAATTGTATCCGTACTTTATGTTGTCGTTTCCTCATGAATTATTTTCATCAAATTCTAATCAAAATAATAGTAATATTAATAGTAGTAATAATGATGATAGTGATGATTTAACAAGCATTTATCAAAATATGGACATGAAAAAAGTTAATCAATTCATTTCAGTTTTGGGAGCAAGTATTGAAGATACCTTTCATCAATCTCTTTTTGGACACACTCTCAATCAATACGAAAGGACATTGAAGAATAATCCACAACAACAGCCTTCATTTCACATTCACCCGAGACAATTTGTTCATGATATTGTACTAGTTTCTGGAAAACCATTTTATGGTTATTGGTTCAATCACAAGTTATTTCTAAAGGTTTATGTGTACAATCCGAGTCATGTTGGAAAGATGGCAGCCATGTTTGGGAATGGAACTGTGATGGGTCATCGTTTTTCAGTCTACGAAGCACATATCCCATTCCCTCTTCAATTTATGATGGACTATAATTTGTATGGTATGGGTGATTTGAGTGTGGAAAAGTTGTACTTTCGTTTACCATTCAATTCGTTTCGGGATGATATGGCTGCTGACAAAATTTCAAGTCAGAATGCCATTCAATACGGTACCATTCTTCCAGATAATGTCAAACGATTGTCTAAATGTGAAATTGAAATGGACGCCTTTTCGAGGGATGTAATGAATAGAAAAGATATTGTGGATTTGCAACTTTCGTTAGAGGATGAAAAGGAAGAGTCTTTTGGAAAGGAAAGAAAATTGATTCGATCTCTTAATGTTATTTGGGAAGAAGAAAGGAGAAGAAGGCGATCTTTGGAGAAGGCTTCTCAACCATTCATTCCATGTTCACCCTTTGAGAGGCAAGAAAAAAGACCACAAAATGAATTGGAAGGATACATGTATGACAATTTGATGAAAATAGTTGAAAATATGAATAGAGATGATAACTATGATGCAAAACATCAGGTTGAGCAAGAAAATGAATCTCTAATTCTGACAAGTCAACTACCAAAAGCTTTCAGTCAAAAATCGGCAACTCCACAGCAACAAGACTCAAATCTCAAAAAATCACAACAAGAGCTGAATGATTTCCTTTCAAAATTTCCAACAGCCTTTCAGACCTATGAAGAAATTAAAGAAATTTATCTAGCCTCTCGAGACAACTCATACTTTGGGCAAGGTAATGCACTTTTTAATATTCAACTAACACAGGGAGATTTAGAGTTGGAAAATGTATTGAATTGGATGAGAGACAAGGATTTTGAATTGAAGGAGGATGAATATAATAATTTGGGAGATTACCAAGAGGATGAAGAAGATAATGAAGAGGAGGAGAGTGAAGATTCCCTGATTCAAGACGAGCAAGAAATGCTCAACTCAATGAAGGAAGTTTTCTCTGGTAACGAACAAATATTCCACGTCGATGAAGAGGAAGAACAAGTTTCAGATGAAGAGTGGAATGTATCATCTGATAGTGAGGGTGAGGATGTTGTTGAATTTATTCCTCAGTTTGATGGTACGCATCCTGAAACTAAATCAAGAAAGCAAAACAAGCGTATCACCATTGAATCTGTAAATATTGGAGATTTTGTCTATATGAGAGCTCCTAAAAACTCTAAACCTTATATTGCATGTATTCTTGATAAGAATAACGAAAAAAAGACAATACAAGTCAGGTGGTTCTACAGACCAGAAGAAACTAAAACTGGAGCTCGAGATTGGACAGGAGTAAGTGAAATTTTCCTAATTTCACAATCTGATACCAATCCCTTCGAAACTGTTGTTGGGAAATGCAAAGTTTTGGTGGTAGACGATTACTTTAGGAATATGCCACCAAATGTGCAAATGCCAAGCTCCCTGTATGACCAGACAAGTCTTCCCGAGGAGTTCACTGACCACAATGAGGATACCTTCTTTTGCAGATTTGAATATTCAGTAAGGAAAGATGAATACAAACCTCTGTCATCAGAATCAAAACAAATTTTGCAAAACTATGAAAGGAAAGTTCTACTGCCAGCAAAGAAACGAAAAATATCCTTCGCAGACGAAGAGCAGCCAAGTGAAACAGAAGTCACACCTCAATCTACCAATGATAATTTCTTTTTTGACAATTTCTTTAGTCAAGCAAAGCATCTGCCCCAAGATAAACCTTCTGAAGATATTACAGTCTCAACACTCATGATGGAACAAGCTTTGGAAAGCTTTGATCCAGATAGGTTTAATTTTGCAGCAAACTCGAGTTCCTCTTCATCGATTCAACCTACTCCTCCAATAATACAAGAGGAGCCTACTGAGACTAGCCCTCCTTTGGCATCTAATATTGCTAAACAAGTTAATTCTCCCTTCCAATCACCAATTATCATACCTACCATTGCAGAAGAGGAACAACCTGAAGTACAACAAGAGGAAGAAGAGTTCTTGGAAAAGGTTTTCAATGTGGAACTAACACCTCCAATGATTGACATTTCACCACCTTCGGAAAAGTTCGAACCATCAGCAATTACAACAATCTCCAACGAAACATCTCCAATTGTTGTAACTTTAAATGAAACAGATTCTTCTTCGGTGGTAAGAAGCGGAAACCTAATTTTGGACTTTAAGGAACCACCCTCTATTGAAGCATTGGAGAATGAACTGCATGAGTCAGCTATTGCTTATAAAGGATTGATAAGGCAAATGGAAAATTATCCATTTTTTAGTTCACATGACGATTATTTGGAAAGCAAAAGAAGTAGTCTAATTAGATTTTCTTCGATATTTGGAAAGAAAAAATTGAACGAAGAAATGCCCAAGAGCAAAGATTATAAGGAATTACCGTTTCTAAATTTCAAATCAAAACTAAATCCTATTGAAAGACCTGTTCACAAAAAGTTTGGAAAGCTTATTCTAGATTTTGCTCCCAAACCACCTTCATTATCGATGGTTTATGAAGAGTTATCTCAAGAGAAAAAGCCAGTAATAGCCGATATCGAAGAAATACACAGACCACTATCTCCACAGTATGACGAACCAATATTGGATGTTGCTTCCTCACTCACAGCTAGGAAATTACTCTCCCTGAATAACACACCTAATACTCTCAGGAATAGAGCTCCAGAATATCAATCCCTCTTGTCAGAATTATCTGTTATGAGTGAGAGAAAAAAGATTGCTTTCGACGAGGCAGCAATACCTAGAGATAATAAGAAAAAGAAAGATTTGGTGTCCAAGCAAAACCTATCAGTCATGTGTATTGAATGTCACGTTTTAACGAGAGCAACGTTTCTACCTAATCCACTCTATGACTCAGTTCAAACAATAGTAATCACTTACCAGAATTGTGCGAATATTGCTGAGAGTTTGGAGCATTGGCTACTTGTCAATAGAGAAATGGAAGCAGATGATGCTGCTCAGAGACCTCTTGCTTTCCCAACACATTTTGATAGAGTTATAGAATTTAAAAATGAAAAAGACCTGTATGAAGGATTTATTGATGTACTTTGTAAGGTCGACCCAGATATTTTATTGGGTTATGAAATTCAAACTGAAGGATTGGGTTATCTCATAGAAAGAGGATTTCTCGTGATGGGAAGAAATGTTTGCTTTGAAATTTCTAGAGTTGCCAATTTTCAAAGTGATAAACCAAAAGTTGATAAGAAAAAGGCCACCAACACCTCCAATAACTTCCAAAGAGAAAAGGCCTTAAAGAAGGCACAGGAATACGCAAGAAACAAACAGTCTGGAGTGATGATTAAAGGAAGAGTCGTTATGAATGTATGGAGAATTATGAATGGAGAGCTTAAACTGGACATGTATACCCTTCACAATGTGGTTTTTAATGTTTTGGGAAGGAGAATTCCATTCTATTCACATCAAACTCTCACCGATCTTTCACACTCATGCTCACACGAAAAAGATAGTTTTGAGTACAGGGTTATTCTTCAATATTATCTGATTAAAACGAGTGTGACCCTCGAGGTACTAAACCATTTGGATATTTTGAATAGAACGGGAGAGTTGGGAAAGGTTTATGGAATTGAGTTCTTTTCTGTTATAAGTAGAGGAAGTCAGTACAGAGTGGAGAGCATGATGTTGAGATTGGCCAGATTGAGGAATTATGTTGCTCTTTCCCCAACAAGAAAACAAGTTATGGAACAAGCAGCCATTGAATGCTTGCCACTGGTTATGGAGCCCCAAAGCAAACTCTACACCAATCCAATGATTGTCTTGGACTTTCAATCACTTTATCCATCCATTATAATTGCCTATAATTTGTGCTACAGTACATGTCTTGGAAAGTTGGCATTTGTGGATAGGAAGAAAACAAAGCTAGGAACTCTGGAAAACTATGAACCTAATAACGAGTTGAGGAAGTTACTCCAGGATAGAACAGGATCGGATTCAATAGAAGAGGACATTTTCATAACGCCTAATCAATGCCTATTTGTCAAGCCAAACGTAAGACAAGGTGTTCTACCAAGAATGTGCTCTGAAATTTTGAATACTAGAATTATGGTTAAACAAGCTATGAAGGAAACTAGCAAGGATGATAAAGAAACTCAAAGAATTTTAAATGCAAGACAGCTTGGTTTGAAACTGATTGCCAACGTTACCTATGGTTATACCAGTGCAAATTTTTCTGGTAGAATGCCACTCTCTGATCTTGCAGATGCTATTGTGCAACTGGCTAGAGCTACTCTCGAGAATGCCATTGATATTGTAAATGAAAAATTTCCAGGCAAGTGTAGAATTGCTTACGGAGATACTGACTCTTTATTTGTGGAATGTATAAATTCAACTCGAGAGGAAGCATTCAAACTTGGAAAGGAAATTGTCAAGCACGTTACCAATGCAAATCCAAGACCAATTACTTTACAAATGGAAAGAGTATTCCATCCGTCATATTTGGTGAGTAAGAAGAGATATGTAGGGATGGCATATGAGAGCCCAGCACAAACTAAAGGAACACTCTTTTGTAAAGGCATAGAGGCTGTCAGAAGAGATAATTGTTTAATGGTAAGATCTTTAATGGAAAAGAGTTTGGAAATATTATTCGAATCATTGGACTTTTCCAGAGTGAAAGCATATTTATCAAGGCAATTCTATAGAATAATTTCAGAAAAGTGCTCGTTGCAAGATTTCATATTCTGGAAAAAGGTCAAATTGGGTTATTACAAGTCGGAGAGACATCTTCCACCATCTGCAAGAATTGCAGTCAGAGAAATGCAACGTGATCCAAGAGCAGAGCCAAGATTTAATGAAAGAGTTCCCTATGTAGTTGTTTTTAGTTCACTGAATCCAGCTAAAGCCAAACTCTCAGACATGGTCATTCACCCCAAATATTTCATCGAGGACAGAATGAATCAAGTTCAAAATTACAAACAAAAATACCGAATTCATTACAATTATTATATTACAAGACAGTTACTTCCCTCAATAGACAGATTATTTTCGCTTAGTTTTGTAAATTGTAATATTTGGTACACTAATTTACCAAAGAAGGATATTTACTTGTTGGCTGATTGGAGAAAGCAAGTATTTAGAAAGTCTAAAAACTTTATTGAACAATACTTCCAACCTTTGAGTAGGCCTTGCTCAAGTTGTGGAAAGATTATTGACAGCTCAAAGAAGGATGTTACCGTAGATTTATTATGTTCTGATTGCAATAGTTATCCTCTTATTTTATTATTAAGAAGGAGAGCAACAGAGAAGCGTTTAAACGAGCTAAAAGAACTCTGTAGATATTGTAATCATAGTCTGGATATGACAAATGGTTTACTGCCAAACTCTAGCTTTTCCATGGAGCAAAAATGCCTATCTCTCGAATGTCCTATTCTCTACTCTAAAATGCAGTCATTCAACAATTTGCAATCGTTAATGGAAATAAAACAGGAATTAATCTAGTTTTTCACAACTCCAACATTTGAAAAGTTCAAAAATACTTGCTCTAATGTTGTGTTACTGACAGAATAATCTTCAATTCCATACTCATCCAAATGTGAATTAATTTCTCCAAAGATTTCATAGATTGGTATGGAGTTAGACACTTCGAAAGTTTGAGTTCTTCCAACTTGATTCAATAAGCGAACATTCTCTTCTCCAAAAGTATTTCTCACAAAGTCGTTTGTTCTTTCCACATTGTCTTCATCATAGTTGGTAATAACGACCTTGTAGAATTTTCCATACTTGTCTTTGAGAGCATTCTTTGTTCCAATTGTTGCCATCTTACCTTCAACAATAATACCAATTCTATTACATAAATGTTCTGTTTCCTCCATAGAGTGAGAAGTTAGAATGATAGAGTGACTTTCTTGCATTTGTTTGATAATTGACCAAATAACTCTTCTGGTAGCAACATCCAGAGATGATGTAGGCTCGTCGAGAAGAATCAAATTAGCAGAACCAATGAATGCCAAAGCAACTGATAATTTACGTTTCATACCTCCTGATAATTCCTTTACAGTTTTGTTGGCATCTTCTGGAGCAAATTTGTAAGTATTCAAGCATTGGGTTACATTTGCAAAGGAATAGGTTCCACGAATTAAATGATAGGTCTTTAAATGTTCCCACACTGTTAAATTCTCATACAATCTATTATTTTGAGGACAGACACCCAAACTATGTTCTGCAGAGAAATTCTCAAAAACGCTTGTACCATTAATTGATATTTTTCCTCTACTAATTCCAGACAATCCACAAATACATTTCAATAGGGTTGTTTTTGAGCTACCATTCTTACCAAGCAAGCCAAAAATTTCTCCTTTCCTTACCCCTAAATTGACCGATTTAAGAGCGCAATAGTCACCATACCATTTGAAAACGTTTTCCACAAGGAGAGAATATCCTCCCAATGATTCCTCTTCACTCTCACCAAAGATTTCGTCTGCATTAGAGTATTTTTCAATCATTTCTTGGAGTTCAACTTCACTAACTGGTAATTCGTTAGTGTCCATTTGTACCTTTCTTCTAATAAAGGAAGGAATAATTCTGTTAATCCAAGAATTTGGCTTTCTCTTCAAATATTCAAAGTATTCAAGAGATAGCATTACAAAAACATTCAAAAGACTCGAAATGATAATAACAATCAATAATACAGACATCTCAGATCCATGATTTCTAAATAAAATAATGTCAAGGAATGAAATTGGTGTTCCATTATAAGCAGCAAGTCCTAAAATTGAAAGTCCGTAAAAAAGATTCCAACCAGGAATGACAAAGCACAAGAAAATCTTGAGTGCCATACTAGTCTCGTATCCAAATAAAAATTTGAATACAAGGAAAGTAAATACTACTGTCAGTGATACAATAAAACCAGACCATTCTTAAATTATTATCGTAAATAAATTAATGTTAATAAAACTCACTTTGAGAATCTTCAACCTTCTTGAAAAAGTAACTGAACATGTAAGCAAAGGTCAAGAAATAAATTGAATAAAATAAATAGAGAGAAAGATAAGCAAATGGTGAATTATCTGTGAATGCCTTCGCTTGTGCTATGAATGTACCTCCAATTATTTGTATGAGAGAAATAATTAACAGTAGGGTGGAATCAAAAACAATATGTGAGAACCAGTACATTTTCTTTGATACAGAGCTGAGTAAGAGTTGAACCTTGGTTTCCTTTTCCTCCTCAGCAACAATATTTGAAACTATTTGAGGAAGAATAAATACCATTGGAATAACCAAATAATAAATAGTATTTTCCAAAAATAACAATGATATTGGATCTCCAAACGCAATCGATTGGATACCAATTGATGGGAAAATAGATTCCAATCTTGTTTCGTTATACTGCTTTGGAGCACTGGCTATATCCAAAATAGTTTGTTGAACCAATTGAGAAAGAGTTGGCAAAGTGGCCATATCTGAATTCTTATACATGACAGTAACATTAAAATCCATAGAATCAAAATCCAATTGATGGAAAATATATCCTCCAAAATAATAGTCAGTTTCAGATGAACTCTTCATTGCCTCTTCCATTTCCATCATACTTGAAAAAGTTCTAAAATCCACATAAAAAGACATGAAATTAGTCAACCTTCTCTCAATGGTTTGCATTAATTTTTTACCATTCTTATCCTTCAACAATTGGCCATTCGCAACCATAGCCATGCAAAATGTTTTTTCCTTCTCAGTTGGTATTGTCGAAAAATCACTCATTAAAGCAGCCTTACTTGGTTTACCCATCTGACCCAACAAGAAAACAGGCGAATTATCAGCCATCCATTTGTAATACTCTTCCGTTCCAGCCTCATACGGATTCATTGAATTCTTAAATAATTGTCTATACGATATATGACTCAATATAATTAATACAATAAATAGCAAGGGAAACATGATCATCATGATTGAATTTTTCCAATCGCGTTTCAAGAGCATGAGTTTTCTGTACAATAATCCGAGCACGGGTTGAATTAGAGTTTGAGAAATTCCCTTCTTTCTATTGTTATAGTTATAATTTACTTCGTTTTGTATTCTTGTTCTTCTTGTTGTTTGTAGAGTTTCATCTTCATCTTCATCATCACGAGGAAGATTTTCCATCAATTCTAAATCATCCTCCTCCGAATTATCGAAATTAAATCGTTCGTGTTGAGACATTTTTTTTCTAAAAGGAATCCAAATCGATTCCACTTTATTACAAATTTTTAAATAATATTTAAAATAGTTAAATATTATTAATAGTATTACAATGGAATATTGAAAGAGAATTACATGCCAGGGAGAACAAAACCTTGCTTTGGAACACCTCCTTCACTAGCTGGATCATCCTCTCCGAAAATGTTTCTATAAATACTCAAAAATTCATCGAATGAAAAGACATTGTCATCACCTGCCTTTTGCATGTGCATTTCCACCAAACGATTGAACAAAACCTTTGACATTTTTCCATTTTCATTGTAAACAGATTCCAATAATTTAGCCATTTCACTTCTGTCAATTGTTCCTGACTTGTCCAAATCAAATTTATCAAAAGTTTGCTTGGCTTTGATTCTTTCTTGTTCACTGAGTGGTTTCTTTTGTAAGAGTTTGGATTCCAATCCAGAACCTGATGGTGAATTAGTGTGAGGTTCAGCATAATTCTTCTTGACATTGTATTGAACTTTCATGGAAATTGGCAATTCAGGTGAAAAGTACAAGGTTGTGTACAATTTGACAAATTCATTGAAATCAATAACTTGATTCTTATCCTTGTCGTTCTTTTGGAATTGCACATCAACGTACTATCCAATTATTAATTGTCCCATATTTAAAATTCATCAACAACATTGTTATTTTTTAGATTCATTTGCATTTTCACACACATGGTCACAACAATAAAAAAAAGTACAATACGATGAATTATGTTATCAGTATTGTCCAATATCATCAATCCGATTCAACACAACGGATAACAGAAATCAAATATTGTTTTTGATCATCATAAAAATTTAAATTCACACCAGTAATATAAAAGCAGTTTACACATATTGTGGTCAACAACAATGGATGATAGAGCGAATAAAACAAACCTTTTCCAACATTTTCTGTGAGAGATTGGTTTTCAAGGTGGTTTCCAAAAGATCCTTGAGTTCTTGTTTGTCGATGGTTTTGGAATTGTCCTTGTCGAACTTTTTGAAGGCAGATTCAATTTCTTGGAGTTGTTGTGGTGTGAGTTGAGACATTTTTTTAATAATTATGATGAGAATAATCAAATTGTCAGTGTACTATCAACGTCATAATGACACTTGACTTGTTTACAATTGTGAATCTTGCCTTTTGTTCACATTGTCACTGCATTTGAGAACTTGGTTGTTAACTTATTCTTGCACTATTAACGTGTGGTTTCAAGGAATTAACACTTTATTCTGTTGTTGAAATCATGAGGATACTATGCTTGAATTATTGATATGGAATGAATAATCCAATTTCATAATCAAAACGATAATCAAAACCTAGTTGATGATACATTTTCAATCCTTTTGGAGAGGCTTGGAGAATGAGTGGTTTATCCTTTGATTTTTCCTTACACAGCTCAATAATTGCTGTCATGACGAAAGAGGCATATCCCTTTCCTCTACTTCTTGGCCGAGTACAAACATTATTAACATAGTGCGTTTTCTCTCCATAGAAAACTTGACCTGTTGACACAATGCTTCCATCCGATTCCATTACAAATACCCAATCATAATTGGCATCATGAAGTGGATATTGACCACTCATGACAATTTCTGAACTCATTGGTCCAGCACTCATTGATGCAAATCCATCTTGGACACAGTCAATTATCTTTGCCATTTCCTCCTTAGTTTCTACTGTCTTTACAACAAAATCTGCATTTCCAAAATAGACTTTTCCAAAATTCAACAAATTAAAAGGTTGTGTAACACTCTTATAATTCAATTCTCTTGTCATCTTGTCCAATTTATCATTTAAATATTGAGTGTTATCTTTATGCAAATGATAAATCAATGCATAGTAAAGATACGAGAAGGAAATATTCAACTTTTCATGAAGGTATGCATATCTAGTGAGTTTGGTGCCATCTTCATTGACCAATCCAAGTTGTTTCATCTCCTCCAAATTACTCTCCAATTTTCCGTCCACCAATTTTAAAGATTTACATCTAGTATCGGGAAGGAACAATAACAGAAAGGCCAAATCAGCTTGTTTTCTTATTGATTCCATGAGTTGAAGTGGATGTTCCTCTCCTCTCGTAGCATAATATTGTGCAGGATCGTCCACTTGTTTATATTCAGGCTTGATGCAAATCATTGATTCTTTTCCATCGGAAGAAGTTTCAACACTAGTAAGGTTCCTATGAGCCTCACCCATTATTTTAATCATTTCAAAACATGAATCAATAATGAGGGAGGTTTCTTCTTGTGAGTATTCCGAAATCATTTCTAAATTATTAAATCCTACCAATTAATTGATTATTTAAATATAGAATACTATTTTGCAATATTTAAGAGTGTGTGTTCTATTTTTTTTATGAAGAGTTTCATTCTCTAAATATATTTGTTTTCAATTTGTGCGAAAAGAAGAGGTAGCAACTATTAATGCTACCGCGGATTTTCAACTTCAAATCATCATCAACAACACAATTTTACAATTTACGTGCGGCTTTTTCCGTGCTCTAATTTTTTTCAATTATTTATTAAAATTTTAATTCTTTTTCAAATATGATGAAGATAGATGAAAGGAAATGCTAATGAGCAATTGGAAAACAACAATTTACAAAAAATGATCCCATCAACTCCTTCCTCTGCTCTTCCCAACATCATCTCATCATGTATCTCCTCCGATAGTCTGATCTCGCTGGAAGATTCAACTAATATCAACAATAATACAACAACAACAACAATAACTTCTCCACAAAACTCATCAAACGACTCTTCACTTCAAATCATTAAGAATATGGGCATTGAATACATCTTCTTGGCAGAGTTTGATATCGATAAAGGATCCATTGTTAAAGTACAATATCCATCACCCTATCCATACGCTACAGAATATTCCATTGCTAATCTAATGCTTCCGGATGGATCTCATAATTGTATTGAAGATACAACCGTTTTCTTCTTGAGAGGAAATAATGAAATTAATAATAATCACCATAACGAAAATAATACATCAGCATCATCGTTAAATAATAGTAATAGTGGAAATAATAATTCTAGTATATTGAGTAATGGTAGTAATGATGGTGGTGAGGAAGCTAAATCATCACCAAGAAATAGTCAGGAAGTGGTAGAGAAGGTTGATTTGAATACAAGTTTAGAATCAACAATTTTGTCGTCGGATCAAGTGATTACTGAACAATCAAAGAAGGAAGAAATTTTCTACTATGTATTAAATGTACAAAAACAAAAGAAATATGAAGGTGAGTATCACTGTGTGATTGATTAGGAATAACAATTACAAAATGTTATTTATTTCAATTATTATTATTTATGTGGAAATTGATGAAAGGTTTGAGAAGAGCTGCTCGTGTCAAGAGTCTTGCTATTGTATCAAAGCATCCATATTGTTTTTCACTTAGAGATTTATTGAGTAAAGCATTGGATCACATCTTTGATGCCTATGATCATACTGCATACAGCAAGGAAAGGAAAAAGGATGAAAATGAAAGTTTACCATCTTCACTATCAGAAAATAATTTACAACAGACGGATCTTATTGATGGTCTTGTTCAAACACTTGTTGAACACATATTCGAAACTTGTAATAGTATTGACTTGTCATCAATGAAATTATACACTGCCCAAGAAAAATTATTTTGGAGATATACCATTGCCAAGAAGAAGCACACTACACATAATTTAATGATCAGATATCAGTATGGAAATAAGGTTGAACAATTTCCAACTTCAATACCAATCTGTCTCTCAGATAATGAGATACAATATCAACTCAACGGTATTACACAAACCAGCTTGTGTAGATTGGTGACTAATTTCAAGGAAAATACCATGCTTATTTTCAATGCAATTCTCTATCAGAAGAGAATTGTTTTCTTCAGTGGTCAACAATTGGCTGGACAAGTTGTAAACACCCTCTTGTCCTCATTGGTAATGTTCCCATTCTTACATGATTTGTTAAAGAAGAGAACATTCCCATATGCTAGTTTTTCAAATTTGGAATTTTTGGATGTGGAAGGTTACATTGTTGGTGTTTGTAATCCAATGTTTGCCCAGAGAGAGGAATATTATGATCTCTTGGTCGATATTGACAAGATGGAAGTTAAGGTCAGCCAAACCATCAATGAAGTGAGAAAGGAAGTTAAAAAGCAGGAAAAGAAGGAAAAGAAGGAATTGAGAAAGAGAAGAGGTTCCAAAGTTAACAGCATGGATGTGAAAAATATTTCCAATCAACAGGACAAGTCCTTGTTTGGATCCATGCTGATGGATACTATGGACATTATCGATACCATTGGCGTTTCAGTTGGTGTGAACAAACCAAAAACATTTGATGATATTTGTTTCCTCACCAACGATGACTTGCAATTTATCAAGGAAATTATTGAACTTATTCAATTCAGAACACCAAAATCAAACAATTTTGAAATGTTGGAAGATTTGATTCGTTCTAAATTCTATTCCTACTCCAAGTCTATCATTGATTTGGCATTTGATCAAGAAAAACAAATTCTCTATCAACAACAATTATATCATGGCTCTGTTCCAAGCAATCAAGAAGCTGTAACTGATAACATCAAGAAGGCCCTTGCATGGAGATCTACACTATCCTTCAAGGAGAATAAGAGAATCTATCGTTCAGGAAGAAGACAAGTTCACATCTCTACTGAAACACTCAACATTGAGAGTGCCATCCAAAAATTGAGAAAGAAAACCTTACCAGAGGAGGAATTAATATCCATATTCCAAACCTTTATCAAACATGTGAATACAAGAGAAGAAATTCTGGAATTCTTGACCTTCCTTCCTGAAAATGAAGGAGGCATCGAACCTATTGCCATTTGTACATTGCACTCATCTGAAATGATGAGACTTTTGAGTGTTTCCTTTTTGAAAAAGATTGAAACCATTGAGGAAGGTAGATTATTAGTTCAAAATATGAACATGTTCCTTTTATTAGGTTATGATAGAGGAACCAAACTCTATAATTGATAACTATTCTCATATATCTATCAGATTTTGTAAAAAACCCTATTAATTAAATTATTACAATAGTACATGACTTTCAAAATATCCCAAACAAGTTAACTAGTTATTGAACTGTGCAGTTTTTAGTTTCGTTTTGTTTGGAATTGTCTTGATTGTCGTCTTGTGGAGCAGATTTCAATAACTTTTCATAATCATTCAATGCAGTCACGAAACCAGGATTTGGACAAATAACCTTCCTTCTAGATCTAATGTACAGCAAACTTTCGTCAACTTCCATTCGAAAGTAGTTCATCAAAAAAGCAGCAACCATCGAAGAAGATCTTGAAATTCCAGAATAGCAATGAACCAACACGCAACCTTTCTCTTTCAAACAGTTTCGAATAAACTCCACAATGGATGGAAAATGCTTTCCAATATCGCAACCAACTTCGTCCTGAATTGGAATTTGCAAAGTTGTCAAATGAGCTAGATTGGGAAGTTTCAATTCCTTGGTAACATTTAGAATGTGAGTGATGTGTTTGTTCTTGTTGAGATGAGAAATTAAAGCAGCATCTGAATCGCCCAAATATAGAAAGGGTTTAGTTTCGGCTGTTTCAATTTCCTCTTGATTAATTATTCGAATTTCTTTCTTTCTTTTATCGGAATAAACTAGAATGACTTGTGCTGGATCGGTCGATAATTCCTCTTCTGCTTGTTTACTCATTTTTTTCTGATAAAAATTACAAATATCAAAAGACTCTCACACACTAGTTCAGTAAACCCATTTCAATATTAAATGTTTATTTTCACACGACAACAATTTAAAATATAAAAATACAAGTAATGTAACATTCCATGATCATTTCAGTTAGCTTCAATTTCATACAAAAGAAGATATATCTATCAATTAAGAATTTGTTTTTCCAATCTTCTCTTTCCACATCCATGATATTCCTTCTTCTGCACTGTATTATTTTTCAGAATTGGTTTGAATTTACTCAAATTATCAGTTGTTGGGCAGTACCCAATCATTCTACATGAAGAAATTGGAGAGAGTTCAGATTCCACCATTTTGATGAAACTTGGTAAATATTGTTCGACAGTGTAGACACATAATCCTTGATAGGTTTCTGGGACTGTTGAGCAAACTTCATCTAATTTGTATGCTAATTGATTCAGAGATTCGTTTTGTGCAATAAAAAGTTCTACATTTGGATCAAGGTTACAATGAAAATTACAATTTTTTGGTCAACTTACCAACTTCATAGACCAGTAATTGACAAATATTACAAACAATTGTCTGATTTTGTTCTCTAACACGAGTAAGAGCATATTCAATACCACGTTTTTGTCTTTGACAGATGGCAAGTGGTTCTTGATGTGCAATCAAGATTTCACTAATCACGTGTGGGACAAATGACAGCGCCATGTCATGACACATATTCATCATGGTTACATTCTTACTGAATGAAGAAAGTGAGCAGAATTTGATCAAATCTTGTTCGGTTTCGTCCATTGATTTCTTTTCCTTGACTAGTTTCTAATAAATTCAAGTTTCGTATAAGCGAATTAGTGGGAAAGGAAAAAGTACTTACTTGTTGAGCAATACCAACGACCATACCACACATGATCTGGGAAATGGTATCGTCCTTTGGAATTACGGATAAAGTAGACGAAACTTTTTCAATCTTTAACGAAACTTTACTTTCGGCTTGTTTCGTTAAACATGTCATGATGCAAACCATCAATATAACAATGAACAATACTGGTTTTTGCACTGTTCTCATCATTTCGTCCTTTTTTCAAATAATTGATTTTATTCGAAAGTGGCGGTTTAGTTGTTTTTTTTGAAGATATTTTATTTTGTGAAGAATCTGTGATGGAAGATTTCCAAAGTAAAAATCTCGAAATGTTACATGTAAGCCTTGACATTTGTTAAAATGATTACAATATTTAAATAGTCCATTACAAAAATTCCTTTATCCGTTTCCAAAAAGAATCTGTGTGGAAGAAAATTCATAATTAATCAATTGAAAAAGTTAACAAGATTCCCGTGTAGTCCAATGGCTAGGATACCTGGCTTTCACCCAGGAGGTCCGGGTTCAATTCCCGGCATGGGAGAATCCTTTTTATATCATATTCTCTTTTCATATAAATAGCTGAGAAATGTGAATTTTTTATTCTAAACTATTTACTTCTCTGCTGCTACTTCTCATCATCATCCATTCCTCATTCTCTTCCCAAAATCCAAACTGATCTGATAATTACAATCAATTTTCCATTCAATCAAAATAACACCATAAATAAACAAAAATTCCATCAAGTCAACCAAACACAAATAATTTAAAAAAAAATGGCACCACCACTCACTGATACCTCTTCATCAAATTATCAAGATTTACCAATCATCATCAATGGAGCAGGTCTTGTTGGCTGTATGGCAGCTTTGTATATGGCACAACATCACGGACAAAAAGTTGTCTTGATTGACAAGAGACAGGATTATAGAAGCCATAAATATGAAGGACGTTCTATTAATTTGGCTATTAGTCATCGTGCTTTTAAAGCCTTGGGAGGAATTGATCAAGAATTTGTTAAACATTTCAAGGACGAAAGTGTTGGATTGAAAATGAAAGGTCGTGGCATTCACATGAAGGATTTGAAGAGTGATTCTCTTGAGGATCAATTTGGAAAGACCTCACGAGTTGGATTTCAACCGTATGGCATTTCTCCTGATGAATACATTGTGAGTGTTGGCAGACATCACTTGAATTGTTTTTTATTGGAAGAATTGGAGAAGAAATTTGCAAATGTTTTACAGGTGGAATTTGAGGCCACTCCAACAAGGATTGAATATGCTAAAATGGACAATGAGAGTGTCTCTATTTTGCATTTTAAGAATAAGGAGGGAGAATTGAAGAGTGTTACTGGTAAATTTATCATTGGAGCTGATGGATTGAATTCATTCGTTCGTCAACAAATGCAAAATAATCCAAATTGTCGTTTTTCAAGTTCTCAGACCTATATTTCACATGCTTATAAGGAATTGTCAATTAGACCAAATGCACAAACTGGTGATTATGTGATGCGTTCAGATTGTTTGCATATTTGGCCACGTGGTGATTTCATGTTGATTGCCTTACCAAATCCAACTAGAGATTTCACAGTTACTCTCTTTATGAGACAATACAAGAAGAGAGATTATGGTGAGGATGAATCTATTGCCAGTAGCAATCAACCTTCATTCGAAAGTGTTGAATTGGGAGATTGTAAGAGTTATGATGAATTGACTCCTGAAATGAAGGAAACCAATGTTCGTAAATTCTTTAGTGAACAATTCCCAGATGCCTATGAAATGGTCAAATCTTATATTATGGAAGATTGGAATGGAAATCCAACGAGTTCATTGAGTTATGTTCAATGTAATCCACATCATTATGATAACAAACTAATCTTGTTAGGTGATTCTTGTAAGTTATTTTACAATATATTTTCATGTTAATTTAATAATATTCGATTCTATTCGATTCGATTCATTGTCAATATTAACAGCTCATGCAATTATTCCATTCTATGGACAAGGAGTAAATTGTGGATTTGAAGATTGTCACGTCTTTTCAAATATTATCAAGGAGGAACAAAGTAAGAGAGGATTGAAGCCAACTGCATTCAATTCAGAGCTCATTCAAGCTGTTTTTGAAAATTACAGTTTGACAAGAAAACCTTCAGCTGATGCCATTCTCAACTTGTCATTGCACAATTTCATTGTAATGAGATCAAAGACTGCTGATCCATTATTCTTATTGGAACAAGCTGTTATGCGTTTCCTCCACAAGAACTTCCCACAAGTAAATGCATTCAAGCCATTGTACAATATGGTTGCCTTCACTCCACAAAAGACCTATGCTGATGCTTGGAATACGCATGTGAATAGAGAGAATTTCATTGCCAAGATTAAGCAATATGCTGTTCAAACTCTTGCTGCTTGTGCCATTTCAGCAATTTCTATTGGAATCTATTCCAAGTGTCGTTCGCAACCACCAGCATCAGTTGCAGTTTCAACAACTACTCCTGGAACCACTCCATCCATCACTGAACAAACCATTCAATTGAGTTATAGTTTATATGATGCTAGTAAGGGTATTGCCAAATCCATTGGTGGATATTTTGGTTATTAAGTTAGAATTGGATTTATAAATAAACAATATAAGATTTAACTCTTTGATGAAATATATTTTATCAAAATGTTGTCATTTATCACTTTTTAAGGAATTTCATCATTTTAGAAGTATTGATTTCCTCTTCGACGTGATCTAAAATAAGCCATTCCTTTTCAAACTGAAGAGTTTCATCTTCAAGTTTACACAATTCTATAAAATCAACTAAACCCTCATCTTTTCTGTTTCCATAAAGATTTGGCCTAGCTTTCAAAACACTATTTGGTCCTTTAAAGCATTTCAAATCAGGCCAAATGCCATTCTTTAACAATTCAACAACCTCGTTCTCTTGATTTTCCTTTGGATAATATGCAAGCTCAGTAAGAGAAGGAAAGACTCTGCTCAATTCCTTGGAACTATTTAAATTAAGGTCTTCATACACGCTGAGTTTCTTCACAGATGGAATTGGTTCAATATTAGAAAGATCAACATTGAAATTCCACTCAATTTCTTCTAATTGTTTTGATTTCTTCAACCAAAGCTCAATTTTTTTGCATTCATCTAGGGTGCATTCATCACCAAGGTGTGGAAAAACAGTTAACAGTGGACTTAATTGATCTAAATAATCCAGAATTTCAATAGCTTCAATATCATTAAGAGTTCCAATATCCCTAATGTTTGGAGCCATCTCTATCAAGGATGTAATGAATTTATCTTTCTCTGATTGGGTACAATGATTGAGTGAAAAATTACTTCCAAACGAGATGGATTCTAGCTTGTTTAGAATTCCTCCACCAAATTTTAAATCTGTACACTGATCTATGGCATCCTCCATGTACACATCCCTACTAATTTTTATACATCTCAAGTTCTTGAACTGCCCAATTTTGGAAAATATTTCTCCACTAATATTGCAACAATAATATGCAAAGCTCAAATATTCTAATTTAGGTTCTCCTTTTAGGAATGTAAGAATTCCTTCATCGGAAATTTGTAAATCTGGTACATCGCCATCCACATCAATAGAAATACCTTTCAAATTTGGACATTTTTGTGTGAGAAAAAGGAGAAAGTCATTACCTGCAGGTTCATTGGCATATGTAATCTCCAAATATTCGAGGTTAGGGGCAAGTTTCACCAAATCATAGGCAATCTTTAGCTCATTATCATCATAACCATGTACTGTCTCTAATTGGAGATATTTGAGATTCTCCAACAATGGAACTTCAATAGAAAAATCTTTCAAATCTGCATCATCTGAGGATATAGAAAGTTTTAATTTCTCCAAAGAACTACAATGGGATAGAATTTGGTAAATATTTGAAAGAGATATTTCAATATCATCAATGATTAATTCCTTGACAGAGAAACCAATTGGCATTGATTTCAAGTTTCTCGTCAATGTTGGTGATTCTTCTCTATATTTTTGAACATTTGGGTCTTTTCGTCTTCATCTTCGTCTTCTTCATCTGATTTTTCATCTTTAGAATAGGAAAGTCTTACAAATTTCACATTTTGTTTTGGTTGTCCTGTTGATTTGGAAAGGAGATTTAAAAGTTTTTTCATTTCCAATCCAGGATCAATACTAATTATTTCCACTGATTTTGTTAATTTGGAAAATGGCTCATTCTTTTTAATCATGCTGTTAAAAACGTCATTAAGTTCATCAATTGACTTGCTATTAATTACCAATCTTCGATGAGTCTTTAAAGCACGTCCAATACTCCACTCTGGATACTTTCCCTCCGAATATGAATTAACAACATATGGATAAATCATTTGTAGGTGTTCGTTTAAGAAGTTGTGAATAAATTTACATGACAAACTCAACATTATCACTTCTCCGATATTTAAAAAAGAAATCATGTGTGAAAATTCATCCTTTGGTAAATTCATCAACAAATTATTCGTTTGTGATGCTGTTGTTGTTTCATTGGTGGTAACAGTCGAGAGTTTAATCTTTTTGGCGTGTTCCTCTCTTGTTCTCTCATCATTGCTTCGTTTGGACATTTTTTTTGATTGACAATAAAAAATTTTACAGATTTTCCTTGCTATTGTAAAATCACTAATTACGGACTTCAGCTCCTGGTACCAAGAATGGTTCACAATATTATGAAAATGTAACTTCTAATATTCTCAATAAACCAAAACTGAATCCACTCTTGTTTTTCCTTTCGAAAGATATTCAATAATAAATTTAAAACCCAGTGGTGTGAAAGGAGTAAGGGCAATATATTGTCTTGGTACTTGATAGGCATAGCAGAGGTGCTTTCTCGTATAGTCCAATAGTTTTGTTCCAATTCCTCTTCTTCTGTAGTCGTCAGAGACCCAAATCCTAGAAATACCACACACAGCCTTTTCCTTCTCATTGGTGCTATTATCAAAATTTATATCAGCCATGTCTAGGCTGGGATGATCAATAATCTTGGGTGAGTGTAATTCTTCTGTTCCAATACTCTGAGAGAGTGAGTGCTTAAATGATTCAAAGAGTGCTGATAAAATATCATCACAACCATTGTCACTGCTGTTACTATTATTGGAGGAAGAGCTTTCATTTTCCTTCCTCTTGAAATGAATTCTTCTTGCAGATGAAATCTTTTCTGCAATCAGACATCCAACTACCACTCGAGAATCTTTTTCCAAACAAATGAATAACTTATATGGCTTTTTGGTAAAGTCTTCTTCTGATTCGTCGTAATTTAATGAGCTATCCACTAGCTCCTTAATTTCTAAAATCTTTTTTTTAGAGTTTGAATTGGATGAAATTTCAATAAATTCCAAATCCAAATTGGAAGACTCACATGTTTCTACTCCAAGGCTTGTATAGTATTTGGCTGTTTTTGGTATTTTTACATTTCTTTCGCTAGTTATTATATTTTTAGTTGTGGACGAAACCTTTCGTTTCTTCTTTTTTTGAATAATTTCTTCTTCCTCTTTGCTTGATGAATCTTGTTCTTCAATAAAGTCGGAAGGCTTATTTTTTCTCATCCTATTGTTCACCTTCTCCTCAACTTCATCATCACAAATATCATCATCACTACTTTCGAATAGAGACATATCCACAACAGACCTCTTTTTCTTCTTCTCCTCCGATAAAGGTCTTACATTCTTGCCACTATTTAAATTCATTTCTTCCTCCTCACAATCAATTCCCAATTTTTTCCTCCTCTCCATAGCAGAAACTTTTTTCATTGGTTGAAATGTTTTCTTAATCATGGACTTTCCAAATCGGAGAGACATTTCCCGTCTTTTCTCCTGTTTGATCATCAAGGCTTTCTCTTCATTGTTATCGAGTTGAGGCATTTTTTTTTAATTTTTATTAATTTTAAAAAAATTGGAAATTTCCAGTTATTTAAAGAAGATTGCAACACTTTCCTCAATATCAAGGAAAATTATTAAACCACCTCAATAGAAGATTTAAGACTGTTTTTTTCAAAGACTCTAAACCGTACATACTGTAGTAAAGATTAAATTTTGCACCAGTTGTTCTCCCTTCCAAATCGAACATTGCCGTACTACATATGTTCACAAAGGGCGATAGGCAAAAATATTACCCGAACAAGAATCCTTCGTGATCAAAAAAAACGCTTAGTCGCTTACTCACAAGAAGAAAATCAAAAAAAAAAGCCATGGTTCAATGTTGCGATAAGTGTAAACAAGTGGAGGAGACAACACCAGCCTCTCATCACTGCCCACAATGTGCTCTCTATTTTTGTGAGAGTCATTTGGAGCTTCATAATGCTGCAAAGAAGACTTCCGGGCATGCGGATCAAGTGATTGATATTAATTCAAAACCTGTTTACATGTGTGATGAGTGTTTGGAAATGAAGGAGAAGAAATTGTTGGATACATGTTTGAAGGCTAGTCATCATTGTCATGAATGTAAATTAAATTTATGTAAAAATCATGTCGAGTTGCACAAGATTTCAACTCTGAGTAAATCACACACTCCAGAAATTAGAGTGATTGGAAAGGGAGGTGATGTTCCATTTAGTGGAAATTTCACACTTGTTGGTACTTTGGAAATTGAAAAACAAACTCTTGGCACTAGAAAATCATTTGATGTTAAAGTGAGTGCCAAGAATCAAGAGATTTACATGTCTTATGAATATAGTATGATTGCTGTTTTTGATAGCAAGACTAGAGAGCCAAAGAGAACGATCAAGGCTCCTTCCACTGCTCGTTGGATGTGCTTGTGTGATAATGATGAAGCAATGATCTTGTGTTGTGGTTGTAATATTTACAAAATTAAAGTTGAGAGTGGTGAAGTTGTGTGGAAATTTGATCAATCAAGAGGTGAAAGTAATGACAGATTCTCTGATCATACTACTTGTGTGGTCGATCCTTTGGATGGTTCTGTATTTGTTGCTGATTGTTTCAATTCAAGAATTCAAGTCTTCTCCAGTGCAGGTCAATATTTAAGAACAATGAAGGGAGAGATTGGAAGCGACATTGCTGAAATTTACGATCCTTACTGTATTGGGTTGACAGCCGACAATAAGAATTTACTTGTCTATTGCAACAAGACATATCACAAGAGAGGAGTTCAATTATTTACAAAGGATGGAGTATTTGTTAATAAGGTTTTTGGATATGAGAATTCCACCCTGAATGCATTCTGTAATCCTCCAATTTATTGTATAGTAGAAAAGTGTACTGGCAACTTGATCATGTCTGAACCGTCCTCTAAGAAATTGACTCTCTACGAGTTAACTGAAAAAGATGGCAAAGTATTAATGGCTACAGCAACTGGTTGCTCAACTCAATTAGGAGAAAGACCATTCAGACCATATGGTATGGATATTGACCCAACTAATGGCTATTTGTATGTCAATTGTGATGAAGATAAGGTTGTTATTTATAAATAAATTGCCAATTCATTTTGTATTTAATAACTTGACAAATTATTATTTTAATAAGATTTTGTAATTGGATTAATAATATACAATTTACAGAGCTACCAAATTTATTTCAATATTTGAACACGATTATTTTCACGATCGCATACATACAATAAACCAGTGTAAGGATCAATGTCAATGCCAGTTGGGGCACTGAAATGTAACTTTCCTTGCCCTCTTGGTTTTTCAAGTTTGAGTAAACTTTGACCCTTGATGAATTTAATTGGAGAGGTCCACGAATCGTCAGTATCCGCAATGACAATATTTCCTGAAAATCGTTCAACACACATGTAGCATGAATCTTGGAGTTCAGGATCCAGGTCTTGCTTTTTACCATAACTCTTAATAAATTCTCCATCAGGAAGACTCAATTCAGCAACTTGTCCTTGACCATAACAACGAGAATTGACTAGTAAATTTCCATTTCTAATAGCCAATCCTTGAGGAGCAGTCCATAATTGCTTTTCAATAAAGTGTTTGACAAACTTGCCATCTCTTGTCAATACCTTCACTCTATCGTTATTCCACTCGGCAATGTAAACATTTCCATCCCCTTCATTATCTACAACAATACCACGACAATTACCAAATGTCTCATCGGTTGCAGTATAATTGTTTGGTTTACCATATTCCCAAATTAAAGTTCTACCATCCATTGTGTACTTGGCAACTGTTTGATTATCACCACTAATGATCATAGTGTCATCTGAAAGATCAAAATCAAGATGAAGTGGTGAAAAGCTGAAAAACTTCATTTCACGTTTGAATGCTCTTGTGGTCAAATCAAAAACTTGAATTCTACAATTTTGAGAGTCACAAACAAATATTTCCTTTGTATAAATGTTAATTTTCAATCCATTTGGTTTTTTGAATTGTTGAGGTTGCTTTCCTTCACTTCCTTTCAAGAAAAATTCATCCTGAGCTTCATTACTTGATCCCAAAAATCCAACAAATTCAAAATCTCCTGCAAATTGTTTAAACTTGTTATCGGCCAATAGACGGAACGAGTTGGTATCGAGTTGGGAACATCCTTCACCTTGAGGTTTTGGATTTTTGGCATGATTACAAGCAAGAGTGTGAATTTTAGCATGATGATAACACAAATTAGTTTTACATTCTCTACAGGCAAAGACAGCATCAACAAAATCATCAGGACAATGAGCTTGACAATGAGCACAAGTACTCAATCCGTCCTCTCCCAATATCTTGATCTCCTTTTCGTGACCCTTTGTCTTGCTCATCTTGTTATGCAAATTCAAATGAAGTTCACAGATATTCAACTTGCAAATAGGACAAAAGTACAAGGCAGCTGTTTCCTCATCATCTTCCATACACATTTGACACATTATTTGTTTCTTTTCTTCCTCTTCCTCTTTAACTTCCACCACATCGGCAGCATGTCCTTTAGTCTTGGCCACCTTATTGTGTAACATCAAATGGACCTCACACATTAACAGATCACATGTTGGACAGTGATGAGTTGCTGCAACTTCTTCCTCTTCATCGAGACATTTGGCGCAGAATTTTGGTGGCATTTTGCTCTCTTAGTCTTTGATTTGTTTTTTTCAAGTTTTGAAAAAATTAAAAAGGCTTGATCCGATGTTGGTACAAAATTTTCTCACGATAACAATCAAAAACGCGCATTTTAGCCTTAGACAACAATATTATGTTTAATCGCCCCCACAACGAATTTTTTACCTTGATTGGCGCTCCTTACTATTAGTGTTCCAATTCGGTTATTTGCAATTTCCTAGCAAGTTCTTTCATGTTTGATTGAGCATAAATATTGAATAATGTTTTACAAGTCGAATTTAGCAAAAAACAAAATGGCCACTTCATGTACTGATTCGATTAAAATAATTGATTGGAGTGGTGAGGTTGGTTCGGATGGTTCAGATGGTCAAGCTGGACAAAAAGGATCAAAAGGAGAGGTTTGTAATTCTATCACACAATAGTATTTAAGGAAATTTTAATGTATTGTTGATCATATGATTGATGATCAAATGTAAATATTAATATGTTGTTGAAACAAATTTAGAGTGGAAGATCGGGTCATTTGGGAAAGAGTGGAGGTGGTAGAGGAGATGATGGTGATTCTGGAGGTTTGTTATCATTGCACATGATTTCAATATATATATGTTGACATTAAATTCATCATCTTATGGAATTCTGTGAAATCACAAAAGGAAATGGAGGAAATGGTACTGATGGATTGAATGGCAGTCATGCTAGTGATGGTAAATCGTGTCCTCACACCAGTGTGCAAATTACAATCGAATCCCAGAGTGATAATTTGTTAAAGTTTAACATGTCATCAAATATTGCAAATGAAAGTGTCTTGTTGGATATTAAAGATGCTTCTGAATCCGTGTTGATTTTCAGAGCTAATGGAGGTGATGGAGGAAATGGTGGTAGAGGTGGTGACGGAGGAGCAGGAGGCGAAGGTGGTAGTGGTAAGTTTCTAATTATCCTATTTCATTGAGTTGTACTGACCCTACTTTTCACTTCTCTGAATGAATCAGGTGGCAATGGTGGAAAGGGAGGAAAAGGTGAAAGTGGAGGAAGTGGTGGTAATGGTGGAAATGGTGGCAGAGGAGGAAATGGTGGACATTCAGGTAATGGTGGAGAGTAAGTTTTTTCATCTTCCATTATTTGTTAAATTATTTCTAATAATTTCTAATTTAATAATAATAACTAAAGTGGTGGAAATGGAGCTAATGGAGGAGATGCAACCAATCAAGTCATTGTAACTACATCCCACCCAGAATATCTCATCTTTTTACAAGTTGAATGTAGAGGAGGAATGTCTGGTATGGGAGGTGAACAAGGTAGAGCTGGATCAGCTGGTTTGGGAGGTTCTCGTGGACATGCTGGTTCAGGAGGAGATCCTAGCTCACTAAATGGTGCTGGAAAGAAGGCAGGAGAAAAAGGAAAGGATGGCCAAAAGGGAGATCGTGGTAAGTCTGGTCAGGAAGGCAAGGCTGGCGAACCTGGATCAAAATCTGGTCAATCAGGAGTTAAGAAGTTTGTAATTGTAGATTCTAAAACTGGACAGGTTTTAGAGCAAGCAAGTGAAATGTATGATTTGGTTGTTTCAGATTTTGAATTGAAAACAACTGATGTAAACACCAATGATGGAATTATTGAACCAGGTGAAGCTGTCATGATTACAGGTCTCAAAATTAAGAATGAAGGAAAATTGACATGCCCAAGTGGAGTAGTGATTAGCTTTACCAGTTTGGCTAGCTCTAAATTCAAATTCCTTCCAAATGCTGGTCAGGAAAGTTTTACATTGAATACAAGTCTTGCTCCTCAAGAGGAAATTGTCGTTCCACACGATTTTCATGGTACTGTAGGAGAGAATGGTAGTAGTGGCTTGGAATCTGAAATTACCATCATTTCACAAGCAACTCTTCTTGGAAAGACATTTAACAATTCAACCCTTCCAAAAACTTTTAAGGTTCAATATCCTGTCAGTATTGAATCCATCTCTCAAGATCCAACTGCTCTCAGACCAGGAAAGGCAGCAACATTGAAAATTACCTTGAATAATGCTTCTGGAATTCCATATGGAAAGTATACTCCGAACCCTGTACACTATGTCATTACATTTGACACAAGATTTGTCACAAAAACATTTGAAGAACAAGTTCAATTAATTCCAGAAAATGGAAAGTATGAAAAATCCATTCCAATTGAGTTGGAACAAGCTGGCGATGGAAAAGATGTATTAATCACTACTAATTTATATTTGAGAGGAAATTTGATTGAAACAGTTGAAACCAAGATTCCACTTGCCGAAACAAATGATTCCTCAAGTGGCGAACGATTCTGTGACAAGTGTCTCGATGATGAAGAACAAACGCAAGCTACTCACTTTTGTAAGACATGTGCTCTCCACTTTTGTGAAGAACACTTGACACTACACAATAAGGCAAACAAGACCAAATTCCATGTTGATGATTTGGTAGAATTGAAGAAGGAAAGTTCTGTACCTCATTGTACCAAATGTTTTGATGAAGCAGAGGAAAAAACCAATGCCACTCATCACTGCTCTGATTGTGATGCCTATTTCTGTGAACTTCACTTGACTCTCCACAACAAGTCAAACAAGACCAAATTCCATACTGGTCTTAAAGAATTGCCCCCTCCAAACTCAACCAAATCCTCAGCTCTTGCTCAACCGGTTTTCAAGAGAAAGACATTCAGCCTATTTGGAAAGATTGAATATGTTGGAAAGCTTGGAGACAAGTATGGAAATTACTCTAGACATCAAAGAGATCCTGGCCTTTTTAGCTTGCCACACGATGTGAAAATTAATGCCATGACAAGACAAGCATTTGTTTCAGATTATTTGAATGGTAGAATTCAAGTTTTTGATTGTGCTACTAAAAAATATTTGTATCACTTTTCAGTTCCAGGTGGAAGTAGATCTATTGCATTTGACTACAATGATAAGACTTTGCTTGTATCAGGAACTTCAACTAATAAGGTTTAGTATGTATTATTTATTTTTCTTACAATTGATTGCATTTACTGCTACATTACAATTAATTGAAATGCCAACACAAACAGCAAATATACATGGGATGGAAAAGTTCAAGTTTGGCAAGCAGGAAGAGGATCTGCAGGAGATTATCCAGATGAAATTTCTACTCCAACATGTCTCACTGTCGATCCAGAGACTAGTGATGTCTACGTTACTGACATGTGTAATAATAGAATTGCTGTTATTAGTCATGATGGTAAAATTCTCAGAACTATTGGAACCATTAAGGAAATTAATTCTGGTTGGGGAGTTGACTTTAATAATGATGGTCATTTAATGGCCTATGATTTTACAAGTGGTTCCATTAAGGTCTTTACAAGGGAAGGAGAATTAATTCATGATATGAGAAGTCTAAGTGTTTCACCAGAAATTGAATGGGCCACCAATTATATTTATTTTGAAAGATCTACAGGATACTTGTACTTGTCAGTTCATAATTGGCATCGAATCAATGTCTATGAGGATTGTAATTTTGTGGAGAGTAAGGATGAATTGGGACAATTTGAAAGTTATGATGATTTGTTAATTGATAGACTTGGACCAAGAAATGGAAAGACTCGTTGTTTGAGAATTGTCAAGAGATTTGGTGAGAAGGGAAGTAAGCACGGTCAATTATTTTCACCAACTGGTTTTGATGTCGATCATCACACAGGAGAATTGTATATTTGTGAGGAGACTAACAACAGAGTTTCAGTTTTTAAATAAATTAATATTTAGCTGTAGTTATGAAATAGTAAATTAATTTTTGGATTATGATTTTTCACATTACCATAGATATATTTAATAGAATCAATGCACGCCGCACAGTAATTTAAAGTGAAGGTGTCGCCATCAGTCGTATTCAAAATTTTTTAATAATATCCGAAGGTGTGTTGACCGAGTGGTTATGGTGCTGGCTTCAGGTGCCAGTGGGTAAAACCGCGTGGGTTCAAATCCCACACACATCAGTTCAAATTTTTTTATTTGCCATTTCAATGGTTCTATCAAGACTTGCTTGTTATCTTGCAAGATGTGATTCAATTTTCTTGGTCCAGTATTGCAGTTACGGTTGGAATAATAATCATATCAATTGTGTCAAAATCATATTTTGGTAATTTCAAAATAGTTTTTCCAGGATTGACCAATAACCAAAACCCAACGTGATCATTATCATTATTTAATTGAATGTAAATCTGGGAATTACTCAAATCATCGCTTTTGATTATCATTCCAGTTTCTTCGATTTCTAATTCTAGAATAATTGATTTCGTATCAATTCTAATTTCCTTTTTAACTTCAATTGGTGAAAAAATTGTGTGAATTGTATTGTTATCTATCGAGCTGGTTGGTAATTAAATTTGATTCGATTACTTACCTTCGAATATTGTCGAATTGGTTCCCAAATTATTTAATGGAACTAGATCTAAAATCTTCCTCTTGGCAATTGGTGATAAATCAGGTCCTGTCAATAATTTCTCAATTGCATGAGGTGAAATATCGCACGTGTTGAATGTAGTATCCATTATATAACAACTAACTATTGGAATGTCAAGCTGTTCCGTTTTGTCAAAATAAAATGAAATGTAAAATCTTGTCAAAACGTCAGAATATTTCACAATTTTAAAAATACATGAATCGTCCTGTAAATATCTTGATAATTCAATTAATTCCATTTTAGTATCAAAATTAGATGGTATCGTATCATTTGTCAAGTATTCAACATATTTCTCAAATATTTCAATGTGATTGACATTTCTCTGAAATATTTCATGTTCAATAGTTTGTAAATCAAGTACAAGTTGACCATTCTCCTTTCGAATTGAAACCAATCCAATTAGAATTCATCATTGTTGTCAAGTATTTGCTTGTGATCACCTTGTTTTTCAAGATTGTAAAATCTCTAGTTTCAAATCGAATAATCACCATCTCATTCGAATCTGTAATTAAACTCATCTCGCTGTCTATTACTGGTCTGAAAGTTTTTAAAGCAAATTGGTCATACGGATCCTCAATAAATTGAAAACTGCAACTATCATTCAATTTTTTTGAATTCCAAAATAGAGCTTGTTTCAAATTTTTCTCAGTTCCTAGGCCCAATTCGAATAATTTTGCAACATTATTCTGGGCGGTTAGCTCACCATTTTTAGCAGCCTCAAGAAAGTATTTGAATGCTTTGGTGTAATCTCTATCGAATACTCCATTCATGTAATAATATGCAACATTAACTTGTGATAATGCATCACCTCTTTCAGAGGCCTTCAATAAATGTTCCTCAGCTTTCGAATAATCTATTTCAACACCTCTCCCATACAAATACATATTTCCAATATTACATTCAGCACGTGCACTCCCCTGTTCAGCAGCTTTAGAATATAATTCCATAGCTTTCGAATAATCTTGTGGAACTCCTAAACCATTTTCAAAAGCATAACCAGCATTGAACTGTGCGTCCATATGACCATTTTCAGCAGCTATCAAATACCATACTACTGCCTTTGAAAAATTTTGTTGAACTACCAATCCATCTCTATAAAATCCTGCAATGGAAAATTGTGCATTTAGATGACCATCTTGAGCTGCTTTCATATACCATTCGAATGCTTTCAGGATGTTCTTTTGAACACCTGATCCAGTTTCGTATAAATAAGCTAGATTGAATTTTGCATCACTGTCTGTTCCTTTTCCATTTACAATACTGTAGACTGAATGAGAATAATCATTTTCAGCTGCTTTTGAATACCATTCGAATGCTTTAGAATAATCTTTTTTGACCCCTCTTCCAGTTGCAAATGATGATGCAACAAATGATTGAGCAGTTAAATCACCATTTTTAGCAGCTTTCAGATACCATTCGAATGCTTTAGAATAATCTTGGTCAACTCCCTTTCCATTTGCAAATATATTTCCAATATTACATTGAGCTATTGAATTTTCCTGTTCAGCAGATTTTAAATACCATTCCATAGCTTTCGAATAATCTTGTTCAACTCCCCATCCATTTTCATATAAAGCAGCAAGATTACACTGAGCTTTCGAAAGACCATTTTCAGCTGCTTTCAAAAACCATTCCATAGCTTTCGAATACTCCACTTCAACTCCTTTATAAAACAAAATTCCGATTGAAAATTGTGATTCTGAAAATCCCTTTTCGGCAGCTTTCAGATACCATTCCATTGCTTTAGATAAATCCTTCTCCACCACCAATCCACAATGATAAAAATAGCCAATTTGATGTTGTGATTCTGTCTTTCCCTGTTCCGCACTCTTCAAAAACAAGTCGAAAGCTTTAGAATAATTTGTTTCAACATTAGTCCCATTAAAATATTTTAAAGCAAGTTCATATTGTTCATCTTCGGAAGAACAAGTTTCTGTACAATCATCATCTTCATCTTGATCAGAAGAACAAGTATTAATCATATCATATTGTCTTTTCATTTTTTTTTAATAATTAAATAAATTATAATTATTCGATTCAAATGAAATCTCAATGAAACTAATCATCAAGAAGATCTGATACTCTTAACTGCTTCATTTTCTTGAGTTGGTCAATTGAGCAATTACTCAAGGAATAGACGCCAATGAAGAGTGTAGTCAATTTTGTCAATTCACTAATTGCTAAACCTCCTTCATCACCTATTGGATTGCCTACAATATCAAGATAGGTCAAATTCCTTAATTGACTTATTGCTTTAGCTCCTTCTGCTGGAATATCATTCTCACCCGCAGAAAGATGAGTTAAATTTCTCAATTCTCCAATTGACTTGGCACCAGCAAGGCCAATCTCATTCCAAGTGACATTAAGGTCAACCAACTTTTTCAACCCACTAATATGTTTGGCTCCTTCATCTCCAATACAATTAAAACCAATACAAAGTTTGGTTAATTCTTTCAGCTCACTAATATAAAAGGTTCCCATTATTCCAATATTATTGTTGGTAATGACCAATTCGGTTAGTTTCTTCATACTACTTATCAATTTTGCTCCTTCAGATAGCAGTGAATTATTGGAAATATGCAGACTGGTCAATTGCTTCATTCTACTGATTATTTTGGCTCCATCATGTCCTATGTTATTTCTATCAATCCTCAATCGAGTCAAATTTTTCATTCCACCTATTAATGTCAGAACTTCATTGTTACGAACTGAAACACTCAAAGATTGTAGTTTACGCAGTTGAGTGATATATTTGGCACTCTCAACATTAATTTCATTATTCCTAATATCGAGAGATTTTAATTGAATCATTCCAGAAATGTAAATCACACCCAGTTCACTAATTCCATTCTCATTTAGTACAAGATCTGTAACTTGTTTCAACATGGTCAATGGTTTAATTGTTGCTCCTTTCAAGTGATGACCACAAATTTCAACTCTCCTCAATTGATTCATGCTTTTAAGAATTGTGCAAAATTTTGGAAAATCCGAAACTCTTTCAGTTCTCAAACTCACAACATTTTGAGACAGGATACTTCTCCTCATTAACTCAATCTTTTGAGAAGTCATTTCTGAATAGTACATGTTCAATTCCAATCGTCCTCCAATTATTTTCATAAATTGTTTTGAAATTGATGCATAATTCCAAAGTGATGAAGATTTGAAATTATGGTCAAGAAATGACAATATTTCATAACAAATATCATCCGAAAATACAGCATTGGATTTCTCTAGCAACGTTGAAGGGGTGGTGTATTTATCTTGTTGATGCATTTTTTTAGGTTGTTCTTGACACAAAGTTCATCACTTGAAATTTTGTGTTGTAAACTATTTTGACATTTAAATCAAAGTGATGGATGGTTGTAGACAAAGATTATCTAAATCTAATTTCAATATCCACAAGCGATCTGTCTTTTGTTTTTTCAAACAAATCCTTCCATCCTCCTTTCAAAAGTTTGAATTGATAATTAATGAAAACAACAGAATTCTCATTCGTGAATTTCTTGTGACGAGTTGTCGTCTCAGTAACCATCACAGTACAAAGTACATTAACCAGTGATGAATTCGAAGAGGAATAGGGGAATGGAGTAAAGGAGGAAAGACTGATTCTTGCAAAGTCACAAAAACCCACAGTCGAAATGTGTTGCTCCTTTCTATTTCTAATGGCGAAATACTTTTTTCGTTTTGGTTTTTGGATGAATCCATCCTCATCAATTGCAATTGACTCATTTGGAATACTTGAAGGAAGGAGTTTAGCATAATATGGTTCAATTTCACTAACAATACGGCTTTCCAGATCAATTAAGATCCATTGAGTATGCTTTGAAAATTCTTTAACCGATTTGAAATGTAATTGTGTATCACAATCATGATTTGAAACAATTTTGTAAAGGTAGCATGTTTCACTGACTCTACAATGTGAAATAATTCTCACTTTTTCATTGAAATGTTTGAAATAATTAAGCAATTCACACTTTCCCAATTTTCCAACAAGTTTCCCATTATTATCTTCGAATGAAATTCTTCTCACAAGATGACGATACTTTTTAGCAGTATCACGATAGTGAATCATTAGAACTTTTTCGTTGGATTCATCCAATCTTGAGAGAATTGTTGCATGGAGAAGTAAGGAATCGAATGGCATTGGAGGAATTTTAACAGGATTTCCAATTAATCTTTGTTTCGAATTCTCACATCAGCGTCTACAATTAAATTCATGCACATGTCATGTTGTAGAAATGGTTCATCCACAACGTGATTCATATCACAAAATGGATTGTATTCAATTTCAAATATAGAGTTAATTTCACGACTTTTCACAATTGACTTGCTAATATCCATCTGATCCAATTCAATTGTAATTCTAAATGCCCTAACTCCACAATAATAATCAATTTCCTTCCTGGCTCCACCATTAGTGCTGGAATGTTCATTAAACATTGGCTTACTAAATTTGAAATCAACTCTTTCAAATTTCATTTCAATGTTAATTCCTCAAAATTAAACTTTTCAAATTTTCCATAATCATGCTGCTGGATGGTTAATAGTTTTATCAATTGCACTTTCATATTAATTATCATTCCCTGATCAAATTCATCTTCCCAAAAATATAATCTCTTTCTCAAACAAATAGCATACGAAACATGATCATTTCTCTTTCCATTAAATTCCTTTTCAAGAAAATAATAATTTAATGGTGATGATGATTCTGAAGAGGAAGAACAGCAAATAAAAACCAACGGAACGGTAATGTATTCATTAAGTTTGGGTTCTTTCATTTTTTTAGAATTATTTCCCCTAAGAAAAAAAAATTTGAACTGATGTGTGTGGGATTTGAACCCACGCGGTTTTACCCACTGGCACCTGAAGCCAGCACCATAACCACTCGGTCAACACACCTTCGGGAAATATTAAAAAATTGTTAACACGACTGATTGGGACAGTAATAGCTTGCTTTCACCCAAATTTCACCAAGGCATCTTTAAAATGATTCTAAATAAAACTTTACAAATTTTAATTAAGGCAAACTTTAAAAATTGAAGATAAACCTCGACACCAAGATTATCTCTTTTGAGGAGTTGCTTGAGAGTTGTTACTAGCTTCTTCTCTAATGACAGAGAATATTGAGGTTTGGTCGATAAGTAATGGATCATTCTCAGAGGCACTAACAGATGACATTATGGAATTTTCATCATCAAAGGTTAACATTGGATCTGAAGGAGCTGATGAAAAATCAGAGCTATCAGAAACTTGAGAAGGAATAGCCAGATAATCACTCAACAAAGACAAAATCGAAAAAATTTCGACAAGTATTGAACTTAATTAAAAGAAGTATTATACATTCAATAGTATTTAATATTGTAAAGTATATTTAAAAAAAATGAGTCATCAACGAGTTGTTCAAGTTCGTCAACCAATCACCAAATCAGCCAAAGATTTATACATTGATAATGAATATCCAATTCCTGAATTTTCTGCCCCACCACCATCACAACAACAATCAGCAGTTGGTAATACTCAAGCCTTGATTAAAGTTTATTATGCTGCTTTGAATCGTGCTGGTATGTTTTTTATTAAATATATTAAATATATTAAATGATTGTAATATTTATCAATATATATTAATGGCTAATGTTTGATTGATGATGTTGTATTCCGATTATTAATTAATGTATTAATCACAATATTTAATAATTATTTAATGTATTTAATGTGTATCTAGATATTGTACAAAGAAATGGAATGTATCCACCACCACCTGGTAGTAGTCCAATTATTGGATTAGAAGTTTCGGGTATTATTGAAAAGTTTTCCAATGGACAAGAAACATCCACTGATGGTCAATTCAAAGTTGGAGATTACGTTTATTGTCTTGTTGAAGGAGGTGCATATTCTGAATATGTTATTGCTACTACAAGTCAAATGTTTCATTGTAATGGAATTTCATTGAAGGAAGCTGCTGCAATTCCAGAAGCTTTCCTGACTGCATTTCAATGTTTCTTCAAAATTGGAAGATTACATGAAAAAGTTGAGGGAAATCTCAATGTTTTGATTCATGGTGGTGCAAGTGGTGTTGGATTGGCATTGATTCAATTGTGTAAATTGAGTGGATTGTGTAAGAACATTTGTGTTACTTGTGGAAGTGATGAGAAGGGTGAATTTTGTAAACAATATGGAGCTACTCATTATGTAAATTATAAGGAAAATCCAAAGTGGAGTGAAAAACTTTCAAAAATCTTGACCAATGATTCTGAAAGTGGTGTTACACCACTCATTGATTATATTCTAGATCCAATTGGTGGAAATACCTATTTGGAACAAGATGTACAAATTGCCAGATTAGATGCCACTATTATTGGAATTGCATCAATGGGAGGAACCAGCGCTACTATTGATTTAGGATTAATGTTGAGAAAGAGAATTCGTATTCAATATAGTACTTTGAGAAATAGATCTCCTCTCTATAAGCAACAACTTGTTCAAGAATTGAAAGATTACATTAAGGATGCTTTTGAAACTAAAAAACTAGTTGCCAATGTTGATACAGTCTTTGATATGGATCAAGTTATTCAAGCTCATGAACATATGGAACAAAATAAGAATAGTGGAAAGATTATTTTAAAGATTAGAGGTGACTTGGAATAAAAAATTTCCATAAATGCAACTCAAGTTTACCAAACAGTTTACAACTCAGAAAGGGATCTTCAAAAAAAACTTTTTTGTTGAAATAATCTCTGTAACTTTGCAAAAGTATATGAAGTGTTTAAGAGACTTGTAGTGAGAGCATTGCCTTTCCTTGTATTGAATTATATGATTACTTGTGAGATTTCTCCATATTGGCCATTTGATGTCTGTATCAAGTTTGAATTTGATGAATTTACACTGACTGTTCAAATATTCACATTATTGAACAATTCTTCTTATTCTTCTCCTCTTCCGATTTAATTTGAAGATATTTCAAGAATAGTTTGGTATCAATAAATTTAAATCTCTTCACAGACTCGATGGTTATTCTTAAAACTTGATCTCTCTTCCTTGGATTACATTCCATAATTACATAATTTACAATGTTATAATGTGAAATGTGCATTCTCAATTCCTCTTCGACCATTTTCTTAAAAGAATCTTCCATAAAATCCTTGTAAGTAATTGCAATGGTAAATATAAACGAGTTTAACCTTTTTTGCAATTGCACTTGCTTGTAAAATATATGAAATTGATCCAATACTGATTCGATATTATTAAAATCATTCTTGATAACAAGTGTAAAAATCATTCCATCACTCATATCGATATAACCTTGATAGAGTGGTGAATATTCCTCCAATAATGAAATGGGATATAATGAAATACATTTCTTTGCATTTTCCATTTCCAAATTAAATGTATAATTATCCTCAAGGCATGGATCATATTCCAAATCAAATTCCGAATTAATCAACATGTTAATAAATCCCATAGAATAATAATATCCATTAGAAGATGAACAAATAAAACGAGGTCTAACATCATCATTCTTTAAATCTCTTCCATAAGATAATGTTGGTATTAAATATTCTGGCAGAATCTGATCCAAATGATTTTCAAAATAAACTAATTGATAATAATACATCATTAATTTTCCATCGTTATTTTTCAATATTTCCCTATTCAAGTCATGATACTTGTTCAATAGGAAATTCATCCACAAATCATTTCCACTCGATGATGATGCATAAATTTGATAAATAAATCGACACGTTAGGGAGAGTGATTTTAATTCTCGGGATGGGTTGCTGAGGAATGGTACGAGTAGTTGTGTAAAAAAGGCTTCTCCGCATGTTTCGTACCAATGTGATGACAATGTTGACGCCGTTGTGATTGTCTTGTTTCTTTTCATTTTTTATTATTATGCAAAACAAGTTCACCTTTTAAATTAATTACCTTATCTTACTGGACTAGAGCATTAAGGAAACATGAATGTAAATCCCGTGTAGTCCAATGGCTAGGATACCTGGCTTTCACCCAGGAGGTCCGGGTTCAATTCCCGGCATGGGAGGATGTTTTGTTTGTTAATTTTTGTTATTGGAGCTCATTTAATTGTTCCAATTCCGGTTCCATTTACAGAAGCACATTTAACACCTTATTAGAAAGAATGAAATATCAATGTCGAGTACATGGTTTACATATACTGTTACTCGAAAATTTATGTTAGAAACTGTTTAGGATAATAATTGACAAATTGTTAAATAAGAATGAGAAGGAATTGTTGGCTTCTCCATATTGGGTCTCATATCTTGCATTGTAGCACTAAAAAGAACAAGGAATAGTTTCAATGACCTCTCTAGTTTATTATTTTCCAACACTTTCGAATAATTCAAATTCCTCGAGGAAAAAACAAGATGAATCCCTTTGATAATATTGATTCTCTGGTATTGAGTTTGACTGGAAATGATAACTTATTGTTGGAAGAAGACTTTCCAATAACATGTAGTAGCTCCATCAGCAGCAACATTACAGAAGAATCTGAAAGTTCCAACAACAGCGACACTCAAGAACATTTTCATCCAATCTCTTGTGTAAGATGTAGACGAATGCATAAATTTTGTTGTAAGTATTTGAGCTCACACCAATTGATTTAGACAAATATTTATGTTAACAAATTATTTCAAAAACAGCAAAAACAAAACCCTCATGTGAAAGATGTACATCTCGAGGAGTGGAATGCATCTATAAAAATAGAGAATCAAGGAAGGCGAATCAAATCTCACCAACAGGATCCTCAACAAAGAGAAAGAGGGAATTGACACTATCTGATTCATCTTCACCCAATAACAAACATGTGAGTGTCAATTTGGAAGAAACTCATTCCAACAATAACAAAGCGAGCATTGCATATTACCTGCCATGGACTTTTTCAATGCCTCTCCCATTTAATTTCTATATTACCAAAGATGTGAATGAAAGCATGAAAACATGCTTCAACAGAGATTTATTGGAAAAATATATTGAAATATACGAAACGAAATGCGAGAGAGAAAGTTTCATGTTGGAGAGAAATGCATTATATTGGAGTATACAAGCTCTGTGTAATCAATCATGTGGAAAATCGAATCTTTCAGAGGAATGTGCAATGAAATCTAGAAATTTCCTCTCAAAAAGCTTCAATCCAAGCTTTATTCTAGTTTCTTATACACATCTCAATCTAGGACTCTTTGAAATTGGAAGAGGAAATATGGAATTGTCGAATTTTCATTTACATTGTTGTAAATTTGGAAATCTAGTCAACCAATCACGATTGAAAAGGACAATTTCGTTTTTGGAACAATTTTCATTTGGAGAAATGGATGCATTAAACTTTGCAAGTCGATTACCTTCCGTATTTGAGTTTATTTGTGGAATTACACTATCAAGTCAATTGGTGACATTATTACAACAAAAAATTACGAAAGAAAATTGTAATGAAATTATCAATACTGGATCTGAAATTGTAAAGTTATGTATTTCGACCATTCTATCAAGAAATACAGATTCCAATAGTGAAGATTCCCCTTCGAATAGTTTCGAATTCACTCAAACCTTATTAATTGAAGGTTTAAAATTGGGAGTTTACGTCTCCTCTCTCAGTAGAACCGATCTGATAGAAGAATGCAGTCTCAGAATAACCTATCTATGTGAAACTGATTCATTCAATCATTGTAGTTTATTCTCAATTCCATTTATAGTAATGGCAACACGTGTCAATTTACAAGTTGTGAAAGGCATCAAGAATGGATCGAGAATGAACAATCAAATAAGTTTTGGAGAGCTAGGCATTCTTCAACCAATTGATTATTATGAAATTCTGCAAAGAAATCAAAATGCTCTCAATTTATTAAATTCTCGATTTTCACTCGTGTCGGTCGTTCATGGGAAATTGATGAAATCACTTGATGAAATCCTGTCAAACAGATAAACCAGTGAATATAAACCTATCAATATTGAATGCAATATTGAACTTGATCAAGTTTGTTCTCTCTTTACAATCTTTACAAAATTCACAAAAAAAATGCCAGAACAAGTATCATTATCGGAATCATTGAAATTTAGATTATCGAGTGGTAAGTAATATTTACATATCTCTATTTACATGCAAAATTTATAAAAATCATTTTAATATTATCAAAGTTTAGATGAATTGTTTTCGGATGATATTTGTTCAGAAATTGTTCAATATCTTGATTATCAATTTGTAAAAACAGTTTGTACATTAATTTCGCAACAGTGGGATCGGGTGATTACAAACAAGAAGGCGAAACTTTCCCTGGTCATGAGAAAAGGTTATTTTAATAGAGTTTGGATTTATTCGAGTTGGAAACATCATCATATGGAGGGTATTTTCAATTTAAAACTTGTTGGATTACGATTTATGCAATTTTTCAAACAATCAAGACATGTTGATCATGGTAATGAAACTTTATTCGAAAGTGTAGAGAATACAATTTGTAAAATGAAACATTTGAAAAGATTGGACATTGCTTCAAGTGATATTGGAAATGAACAAGTTAAAATACTATCTCAATTTAAAAATTTGGAATTATTAAATTTAGGGGATAATCATATAAAAGATGAAGGGTTGGAATTGTTGAGTGATTTGAAAGGTTTAACATTGTTGAATATTAGAAATAATAGAATTGAAAGTGTAGAATCAATTTGTAAAATGAAAAATTTAACACATCTTAATATTAAAAAGAATAGAATTGGAGATTTGGGAATTGAGGAAATTGCAGAAAATTTAAATCATTTGATATATCTCAATGTTAGTGGTTGTGGTATTACCTCTTGCAAGCCGATTAGTGAAAAATTACAATATTTAAAATCGCTCAATATTAATAGAAATAATCTCGGATCTAAAGGAGCACAAAATGTTGCTGAAATGAAACAATTGACATGCCTTTCCATTGGAAATAATCATATTCATGCTAAAGGTGCCTTATATATTAGTAGACTTGAAAAATTAACTGCACTTTGCATTAATGGAAATAGAATTGGTGATGTTGGTGCGGAGTATATTATCAAAATGAAACAATTAACCTTTCTGGATATGCAATATAATCAAATTGAGAATGTAATGGTAGAAAGTAGTGAAATTACAAATTTAACATACCTTAATTTAGGATATAACAAAATTACCACGAATGGATTGGTTTCCATCACCAAATTAGATCAATTGAAATCACTGTACCTACACTATAATTATTATTTGGATCCCAATTTACTTGAAAGAATGAAACATTTGAAAAAACTTGACATTTCGAAAAATTTTACTCAAAATGAATTCAAATCAATCTGTGAAATGACACATTTGACATCATTAATTGTCCCACGAAATTCCATAAACAAAACTGGAATTCAATCAATTACAGAGTTAAAGCATTTAACTGAACTTGATATTGAAAACAACGAAATTGGAACAACAGGTGCCGAAAAGATAAGCGAGATGAAACATTTACTAATTCTCAAGATTGACTATAATAATATTTGTTCAGAAGGGGCTCGATTTATCAGTCAATTACCCAATTTAACTGCTCTTTCGATTGGCGCTAATAATATTCGAACTGTAGGAGCTAAATATATTGGTCAGATGAGCCAATTAACTGAACTGCGCATTTACAGCGATTATGAAATTGGAGATGAAGGAGTTAAGGCTATTAGTCGACTAACTCGTCTCACAAAACTCCACATTAATGGCATTGGAATGACTGATGAAGGAGCAAAATCCATACTTGCTTTGAAAAATTTAACATGGCTCTGTGCATACTGGCCAAACCCCTATGGTAACCAAGTTAGAAATATGCTTAGAAAATTACCTGCCCTTCAACAAATTTTTGTTTAATAATCTATATATATCTATTTACAAAATTAATTATTTCTATACTCGTAATTTTGCGTTTCCTTAATAGCCAATAATTCAATTGCTCCTTTTTCAGTTGTGGTGAGAAGTTGTGATTTTAAGGGTAAACATTTGCTGTCCATTAATTTCATTTTGTGTTTTTTTGAAATCATCTTTGATTCTGTATGTTTCTTTTTTACCACTAGAACACTTTTAACTGGCAGATCATCATGGGCAACCAATGAAATTGTTTGATTTGTGTCACTTGCCAATGTTGAGAAGGGAACCACTGAAATATTTCCTGTATCATTGCTTCTCGATTCTCTCTTTTGTAACTCTTCCTTTCTTGATAAACATTCCTTCCCATAGTATCTCTTTACTCGAGTGAACATTTTGCAACAACAATAACCCGGCTGAATATCCTTTCCAAGTAATCTACTTGCAACCTCTATTCCTTTCGGTGATAAAAGATAGAATCGGCTCCAATTCTTTTTCTTATGACCACAAAAACAACAGACACACTTTTCGTTTCGGTAGTCGAACTTTTCATCTGGCCGTTCGAGGTGCAGTTTATCCATTTTATTGAAAACATAATTCTTGTTGGCACTGGAAGTGATGATTTGTTATTCTGTAAAGCCAATATTTAAAATTTATTAAATTAAAAATTAAAAAAAACAATAAAAAACATGTCTCCCCCAATCCACTATTCTATTTTATCTTCTTCCAAGCTCGCAAGTTCTGACTATCAAACCATGCCATGGAAGAATGGTCAAGGAACTACCAGACAATTTATCATTTCTCCATCAACGTGTACATCTGTTAATGATGATTTTACATTCCGTTTATCGAGTGCTCAGATGAAAACACAATTTCATCAACAACAACCTCTTGAAGAGCAACAAACAACAACAAACTCTCAAAAGGTCCCCTTCTCATCCTTTGTAGGCTATTCTCGTGTTTTAATTTATACTCAATGTAATCTATCGCAACATCCACAACAAAAGACTACACATCCAACACAAATGTACATTATTCAACAACATGAAGAACAAGATTCATCAAGGAAGGAATTAATACAAAGGGATTATCTTCCACTGATGGTTCCCTATTACTTTTCTGGTTCTGCCAAAACAGAGTGTGAATTAATTCCTTCAACAATCGATGAAGGAGACCAGGAACATTTAATTATTGACTATAATGTCATGACGAAGGATGAAAGAACCAAGTGTGAGAAGGTCGTTTGTCGTTCTGTGCATGACTTTGATTCATCAGAAGAAATTAATTTGTTGCAATTATTGGATTTATTACCAGTAACAACAACTTCATCAACTACAACAGAACAAGATGAAGAAGAACAACAAATAGATACTAGTAACAATCAAAGGAAGTGGCACTTGTTTTTATATGTACCCGATGATTTGGATGCCTTGGTCAAAGTTAACATTCCAAAATCATCCAATCATGATGATAAGAGTTCTATTCACATATTGAATAGAGATGATACTTTGCAATTGGAAGGTGTTGGAGATTATTCACAAGTAATGTCTCAAGTTAAGGTTACTTTTGAACCATTTTCTAATGAACAAGAAAAAGGAGGAAGTCATGTTATTGGTGTTTTAATTATTGAAAATTAATGAAACTACATGATTTCAAAATGTTTGGATCCTTTACAAAGTCTGCTATTTGTTGTGATAGACATGTTAATTACCCAAATCAGCTCATTAATCACTTAACCATTTTACGAGTCAACTGTCGTTTAATAACATCAAATAAAAATGCTCACACAAACACAGGCAGCAAATACAAGCCTGGAACTACAGCTCGGGTTCATCAACATCTCTACGAGCATCAAGGAATTTGATTCCAACCTTCTCAACACCATCAATACTCAACTCTATTCTCCCACTCAAGTGGAAATTTCCATCTACACCTCACGACACCTACAACATAAACAAAGTTTTTCTGCCGATCAATTAAAAACCAATACAACCTCTATTTCTACCACACTCGATATAGAAAATCCATCCCGTGATGTGATTTCCATACAAATTCAAGTCATTCCCGAACGTTCACAATATTTCAATACTGAGGATGCCTACTTGTTTGGAGGAATTATATTGACTGATTTAATTTCACTAATGAGGGATCAGCCCACTGTGAGGAAGGGAATCTTTTTGGAAAACATGTCTCAATCTTCTAATGTCTTACAAATTCCATTAATTTGTGAGATTAGTTCATTTAGTGCGAAACCTAAAGATTTTGGTTGGAGTAAAGAGTCGAGTGGAAAGAGTAAATTGGCTGATTTTATTCGTTCCACAGTTTATCAGGCGAAGAATGTTCAATCTCAACATTTTCAACAGAAACAAACAGTGCCCAATTCTAGTCAATCAGAAACTAATGGAAGATTTAAATATTTATCTGCAAGTCAAAATAGTAAACCAAATAGACAACAGGTGGAGAACTTTTCAAATAAGATTATCAAGGTAAATCCTTTCACTTCGGATCAGACACCTAATTTTGATTCGAATATGGCTTCTCCAAATTCAATTCTCCAAAAGAAATTAATTCGATATCCAACTATGGAAATTAAAAAGACCATCATTGTAAGTAATTATTTCCATGAGTTTATTCTAAACTTTATTCAGAGAAATTTACAAGGATTCAAATTCTATTTGAAAAAACAAAAGGATACAACAGGATTGGATATTTATGAATATAATGACAAATCCTTTCCAAACTCTGGACAAGAATCTTACTTTTTCAGTTATCAAATATTACAAGTGTTGAATCATTTATTGGAAAATAATCAAAAGGAATTATTTCAATTGTGGATTCATGCTCATGATTTCTTCTCATCTGAAACGGAAATGAAGAGGGAAAATTCATCTGGAAATTTATCATTAGCAGGTTCGTTTGCCTCAGTCTTTGATAACTTAGAAGAATCTCCCAAATCTACTCCTCCACCTTCACCAACTAATACTCCTCCTTCGGGTAGCTCTAATTTTTCTAATGGAAATAACAAAAGAGAGACAAATAATAATCACTATTTAAACTCCAAATATATTTCACCTGATTATTTGAGAAATTTCCTCACCAATGATCCGTACGTTCAGACCTTTGTTCATAATGTGACCTTTCTCTCCAGTGACATGTTTCCATCAGTACTGCATTCACACAGAGGGAAAACATTTAAAAAACTAATTGAGGATGAGAGTAATGAGTTGGAAACATTCCTGAACTATGTCGAACGACTTCACGAGAATATTACCAGCGTCTATGAAAAGAATCATCTCTACATGAGGTTGAGCAAGGTTTTAAACAAGCAGAACTTTGTCAAGGATGTGAATTTGAAAGAATTTTTACAACAGAATAGTACAGATTTTGAATTTTTGAGATATCCAGATTTGGATGCGATCAAAAGCGTCAAGGTTTTGAAATTTATTGATATGCTCTCGGAAAAATCTCTTGAAATTATTAGTCACGATATTAGAGGTACAGATTTAGAACCTTTGGAATTTAAAATTGCAGACACCCTGTTAAAATCATCATCTGCAAAATATCTGAAACAAATATTGGACGAAACTCATGACTATGAATCAAAAATTGTTTCTGATCCAAAATTTGACAGACTTTTCGAGGTTGTTCCCTCACTCTTCGAGCCATTCATGTTGCCAATGAAAACTCTAATGGCAATTATTGACCAAACCATGATCATTTTCAATCATGGCATTGATGCAAAGGTTACTGGGACCTATGTATTGAAAAATTCCACCTCCATTACTAATGACTTGATGGAATTGAAAATGTTCATCAAAAAGTCAGAGGCTGGTTCTGGTTTATACTTTCACAATGTGAGATATGTTGATTATTTGGCCTATGTTTTCTCCAAGAATCATAACAGATTATTCGAAATTCTTAAAAAGACAGTTTTAAACTTGTCTAAACAATTTGATTGGAACAGAGCATCTTCTTGGATTGATTCAATTATGGAACGTTATCATGGAACATTCTTCATGGATATCAAGAAGAGATTTGGATTCAAGGATAATCAATTCAGTACCTTCCTCTATACTATTATAACAGTTATGAAAGAGTCAATGCTTACAAAGCATCGTCAGGAGGAAGTCAAATATTTGCTGGAATTGATTCCAAAAGAATTGCCAGAACATGTCAAGAATTTGCCATTACGATCTGTTGAAAAATTAGACAATCCATTCGATAATAAGGTAATTGTTTACAAACGTGGTATTATTCCTCCAGTTCCAATATTCAATCCACTACTGATTAGACCAGTTAAGAGCAAGGAACCAACAGCAAAGAGAATTATTGCTGGCAAGATGGAGGTCTACTCGGCCAATCAGCCCTACCTCATTCAATACAGAAACAAGACGATGGATAATGAACTCATCGATAGAAATGAATTGTACTACTTGTTCCTGACAACGAGTATCTTTATCGAAAAGACTAACACAGACAGTTCATTTAAGCTAATTTCCACTGCTACCTCTACCATAAAGAAGGAAGAGAACACCACAACAAAACAAGTGGAAATACCTCTTCCACCTCCAAATATTAACCAACCAATAGATGTCAAACTCTTTATCAAACCTACTCCACTAGAAAAGGCAATCCCTCCACCACCTCCCCCTACTTTGTTTTCGAAAGCTAGTACTCCAAAATCCAAATCACCAATTCCACTCTCAAAACCAAAGTCCAATAAGATGTCATTACGAGTTGAGCTGGAGCAAAAATTGAAGCTGTTTCGTGAGGAGGATGACGAAGAAGATCCTGGTCAACAAACGGATAATATAGTTCTTGGAATTATTGAAAAAGCAGTTCCACTCTATTCTACATTTATAATGCACAATTTACCATTGAAACACTTGTTGAGTATGGGAAATGTGTATATGGCACTTTCAGAAAGTATCAAACGGAGATTCCCAACTTTTAATAAGTGGCTTCCTGATAAGGTCATTGGCAGAATTTGTCTCTTTACCACACCAACAAGTTTATTCATTCTGAGTTTGGTTTCGAAACAATTTTTTGTTCAATCCCATTCAATCACTTGGCAAAAGGAGATTTACTCAATTTCACCCTCATTTGTTGGCTTCCCTGCTCTTGTTCACATGAAAGTCAAGTGTTTAATTCACAAGCATAGACAGAATATTTTAACATTGAGAGATTGTTTGCATAATTCCCAAAATATGTATCAACTTGCTGATTTGAAATATCGGCTCAAAGGTATTGGATTTGAAGCAATGAGTTCAATATTCGACAATACGAATGCTCTCATCAATCAATTGACCTATTTATATCAAGAAGAAAAGCAATTTGCTCTCATCAAGTATTTCTACAGCTATTACAAATTAATTGGAGCACTTCACTATGAGGTTTCAAAGCTTTCTACCTACAAGTTGGAAAGAGATATCCTGAAAAAGATTTGTGCTTCTCATATTGTGTTAATTTGCCTTTCGAAGGAGACTCTTCCAAATGTTTCGAACATTCCAGATCTTGGAAGTCATCCAATAGCTGTTACAAGAAATATGCTCAAAACTGTTTCGTTGAAATATCCTAATGTTAATATTTGTATGGTTCTTTCATACTTTTACAATATCAATGAAACTTATTGTAGCAAAATGTTTGAATATTGCAGATTGTGGAAGAATATCAATGATACTATTCTAAGATATAAGGAAAATTTACTAGAGGTGGAAAAGATATTCCAGAAAGAAAAAACATCAACGGATGGATTGAACAAATTTACTGGAAAGGTCAATGATCTTTTAAACAAGACCAACAAGGTTGACAAGTCAAAGCTTGTGGAATATGAAAATCAAATCATCAAATATCTTGTTAAATGTGGAAATTATTATAGATATTACCTTACTGTCTATGATAAGAGTGGTGGAATGTCATTGGACGAGGCTATGTTTGTAGCCATTCAACTCAACCAATTTGAAGAGCTTAAAGAATTAATTTCCAAAGGAGCTAATGTCAATGCCCTCAGAAAAGGCAAAGACATTGCTGCTGAAAGTCTCAGAACAAAGAATCAAGAAATGATAGATTATTGCCACTTGACACGGATTGACAATATTCAAAAAAGTAATGAGAAATTACCAGTTGACATGAATCTACTCCTCTACGCGATCGATAACAAGTATTGGCCTGTAGTCGAAATCATTGCTAGGAAAAATAAGGAGCTTTGCTTTGAGAGCTTTAGAGGACTGAGACCAATTGATTATTGTATTGTCAACTCTAAGTATCCAGGTGTTGAACTATTCATCAATGCAATGATTACGGATGACAAGAATTTCAATGTGGAGGTTCTATCAAAGGCTTGCTTTATAGCAATTGATTATGGCATGACAAGTGCTTTGAAATACCTTGTTCAAAAAGAACCAGAGCTTGCCACCAGAAGAACCATTAGTGATATTAGATATCAAGAATCTCACTATTCGAATCCTTCACTTATTCTATATGCACTCAGAAAGAGATCAACCAAAAGCGTTGTAACACTCATTGAAATGTTTCCAAAGTTATTAAATGCTCGATTGAATCATGGAAATGAAGCTGAGCAAGCTCCTGCCAAATCGAACAGTAATGGAAAAACAGGTCTCAGCCAATTGATCAATAATGGAACTCCTCTCACTTTTGCTGTAGAGACGAATCAACAAGAATTGGCTTTCATCCTAGTTGAGAAGGGAGCTGATGTGGATGTTAAAAAGAATGGAATGGATTTGGCCTCTGTTGCAGAAACAACTGAAAATTCAGACATGATTATTTGGGCACGAAAGCTCCTTAACAAATCCGAAACCTATCTCTGTTACAAGTTTGAAGTGGAATATATAGATAACATGTTGAATCTGTATCGTAAGAGATTCAAAATGGTTGTCAATTATTCTGAGAGTGTTCAAGATTTTGTGAAAAAAACCAAGCTCAGATGTGGAATTCGAGGTAGTTACGAATTGCAATACTATGATCCCGATTTTGAGGAATTTGTGGATGTTGTGGACATGAAGGATTTACAATTATTGGATGATGAACTCAACCTGATTAAATTGAAGAGAGTCAAGAATACTGTCGATTCAATTCTTCCACAAAGAGCAGGCAATGGAAGATATGAACAATATTTGGGAATGACTCTTGATGATCGATACAAAATTATTCGAATTATTGGAGAGGGAGGATTTGGTATCATTTTTGAATGCCAAGTGTTGAATACACCAGAGGAACCAAATGTGGCAATCAAAACCATCGCTACAGGTAAAAATTCAATTCAGAAACCAACACAAGATGCTGAAAATGAAGCCAATCTTGTCAAGCAATTGGATCACCAGAATGTGGTAAAGATTTATGACACTTTCCAAGTCGATACCGAGCATTCTTCCATGTTTTGCATTGTCATGGAACTGTATAAGGGAGATGTCATGTCCATCATTAGTGAATCCATCAAATCAGCCACAACTATTCCACTGCCAATTATTTGGAAAATCATTTCTCAAACCACCCAAGCTCTTAACTATGTGCATTCCCAACAAGTCATGCACCGAGACATTAAACCTCAAAACATCTTTATCAGAAGAAGGGATATTGACTCGAATTTGATTGAGGTTGTTTTGGGAGATTTTGGTATTGCCAAAGAGAATGCACACACTACCAAAAATACCTATGCTGGTTCTCTTTGCTACATTTCACCAGAATTACTATTGAATCAACCTTATGGATTTGCCACTGACATGTATTCACTTGGAGTGACATTGTATCAATTATTAACTTTGGATACTTCTACTTCAATTTGTTCCAAACTCATTCACTCTGAAGAACAATGGTATGTTTCATTTTCAATATTTCTAATTAATGGTCTGATAAATTATTCGAATTATTACCTATTCAGCTTCCAAGAAATGACCAAAGCAATCACAGATCACTACAGCAATACCCACAATCAAGCATTGTTAAACAAACTCCTCAATATCATGACTCGTCTTCTCAAATTCCTTCCTCAAGCTCGCCTAACTGCCCAACAACTCGTCCAAGAAGTAACTTGATTCCAATTCCAAACAATTCCAATTTTATTTACAATTTCATCATTAAATTTACAATTTTTCCAAAATAAATACAAAAATTCAATCATCATCTCAGGAATGAAATTTCCAACATGATGATGACAATAAATACTAGTAGATAAATAGATGACTAAAAAGATTACCAATTATTGATCCGATTTCTTCAACCAATTCGGAAGTTCAATAGCCTTTGCCTTTTCCACCAGTGGAGCCAGAGGTGCTTTAATCTTTGCAATGTATTGTCGTGCATTGTCGACATCGTCCATGATTGGACCCATCACAATGTGATGATACAAGCCGACAACGAGGAGACTAACTCCGACTGAAATTCCGACAGTTTTCAGGACATGTTTGGTTTCGTCATCGAGTGCCATTTTTTTTTATTTTTTTTAAATTTACGATTTGATAATTATTTAAATAGTTAAATAGTTTAATATATTTAAAGATTTTATAAAATTATGAAAAATTAAAGATCATTCAATTACAAAGATATTTAAAAAAAATGGCATCATTTAAAAACATACTTCCTTCCACCATTGATGAATTACAATTTATTAACTATTTAAAAATCATCAAACAAGATGCTTTACTAAATGAAACTAATATGAAACAAGTTTCGGAACAGGTGGATCATTTATTCCGATCAATTTTAAATCATATCGATGAAGAGTTTGAGAAGGAAATTATTTCTTCCTCTGTAGAAGAAACCAAACTTTTCCAATATTCGGTACCAAAGAAAGTTCAAGGAGGTGGATTTATGTGTAGCAGAGTGATGGATGAGAAACCATTCGATTTGTTCGAACAGGTTTTTGTTAAATTTATGGAAAATTGTGAAAAGAGAGAGTTGGCAAGATATGTCCACCTGTTGTACAAGTTGGTGAATGCAATTCAACAGCAAGTTGGTTGTGATTGGATGGGAATTTATAGAAATTTTGAAGGGTGTCTCTATAAGATGAGTTATTATGGAAAGTATTCGAGAGCTGATTTTCCAATTGATGAGGAACATGCAAAGAGTTCAACCAATTCATTTGTAGCACTGAATAGAGTGGTTGTTACTTTGGATGATGTGAATAGTGCTTCTGATTCTGGTCAACCTTATTATAGCTGTGATGTAAAAGTACAATCAGAATGTTGTGCACCAATTCTGGACATCCAAAATGGGACAACATTGGGCATTATTGATGCTGAGGCACACAATGCTCACTATTTTACATTGGAGAGGAGAATTTTCATTGTTCGAGCATGCTTCCTTTTAGGATTCATTCTTCCAAACAATCATTAAGGACTTGTTGATGTGCATTGAATTGTTATACTTTAAATTTATTTGGAAAGTTAAATAAATCTCATTTGTATCTCAATAGAGATCTCAGTTTCGATTCTCTAATGTCCTTCAAAACATCAATTATTACCCATTATGGGATTTCATTCAATTTGCCAGTCTCATCACAACTATATTTTACCTTTTAGGAAACTTGAACAAGTTCAAGGTACTTTTTAAAGCATCTACTTCTGCATGTTGTTGGTAACTTTTCTCAGAATGTTCGTTATTGTGTTTTGTTCTTATTGAAGAGGTACTTGATGAATCATCTTCACTGGACTCAGATTGAGAATAGATGCTATCATGTCTTGGCACCAAATTACCAAATGAATTTACCATTCTCTCAAGGTTTTCATTCGATTCAATTCCACCACTTGCAAACAGTGAAAAATAAAACTCTGAGGTAAACACCTCAAGACTATTCTTTGGAAGATCTGGGCGTGGGGATAATGACCTTGGCATTATGGAATTGCTTATAGTGCATTGATTACCAAGTTCATATTCTAATTCTTCATTAGTCATCATACTGGATGTTGATGGAGTATTCTCAATCGTCGTAGAGACTGGAAAGACATTAAAAATTACAGAAACATAATCTAACAAGATTGCCAAAAAGGCCCATAAATGATACCAATTGGTGTGGGTTGTTTCTTCTGATTTTGATGTTTCCTTGATGGATACTGAGGCAGATGTTACCTGATTGAATGAGTTAAGCATTGAGAATAAAGTGGAATTTGAACGGACGAGTGAGGGTAATGATGATGATGATGATACTCTTATTCCTTGTGAATGAATGATATTGAGCATTGTTTCTTATTGAAATTTCACAACAGGGAGAAAATATATTCTTGTCGTTTTATATGATTCTCAACAAAAGAGTGTGAGTTTGGGATATTGAGGTAGTTTTTTGAGTAGTGTAATGAGAAAGCTAGCACTGCTTTTGCCTCAATTTAAATTGCAGGAAGCCTTATTAATATTATTCTGTTGAATATTCGGTCCTGTGAAAAGAATCTGAAAAGATTCAGCACTTGCTTTACCCGTTGTGGAGAATTAGCAAAAAATGTATTGAGCGCATGGCCTCCTCACCACAAATAAGGCAGTCAATTGTGTTTGTGCTGATGAGAGGGGTATCATCAGCCTTAATAAATGTGCAAAAATCTCATTCAAAAAATCAAAAAACAATTTATATGATGTGGATCTTAATGGCGAGCAAATTGATATGAATTAATTTGTTGTACTGTCCTCTAACTGTACAGTTTCTGAAGTTGCTTCCAATGTCGTGCTTTCTGTTTGGGCTTTTTCTTCCTTTGCCTTCTTTTTATTCTCTTCCTCTTCTCGTTGCTTTTTATCGTCTTTCATCAATTTTCTAAATTAATATCCAAAATATATAAATTAGATAAGGTTCATCATCATCATCATCATGATTCCGAATCAATGTCCTCATTATTTACTAACAATATATTATGAACCTCTTACCTATAATCACCAAAGATGACTTTCATTAATTGTCTCTTTTGAACATCGGCAACGGAATTTGATTGCAATGTGGTAAGAACTCTCTTGGTTTCTTTAATTTGATATGCATCAGCATCCTTTCTAGAGAGTCCTAATTCCAATTGTTGAATACACCAATTTAATTCATTCTCTAATTGAACCTTCTTTTCTTCCGAGAGGTGAATTTGTGGTGGAGCCTTTGTTGATGGTGCTTTACGTGGTGGCATTTTTTCAAATAACTTGTTGAAAACGTAACCTAAACTTAAATGTAAACTTTTGCTAATAAACTAATTATCATCATCCAACATTTGAATATTTGAATTACAAGAAGGCTGGCAAAAATTGCGCCAAAATATATTTTAATTTTTTAAAAAAATTCAAAACCCAAATTGCTTGTCGTGTTGGGAACGAATTTTGCAACGAAGAGTAAGAAGTGAATCGGAAAAGATAAGGTTGGAAATACTTTAACGGTCAAGTTGGTCATTATGTTACGGCCCATTTGTTCTAATGAAGTAGGAGACTAGGCAATTTAATCATGTAGGTCAATGCTCGCAAGACCTGTTGTGGAAGCGAGCATGAACATAATTGATGCAACATCTTTTAGTTTTTTAATTACGGATTTAATAGATCTTGAATTGTGATCTAATCACAAGAACATCACAAGAACAATCAAAAGAACTAGAAACGAAAAAAATTAACACAACATGGTTACGGGCAATATTGAAACACTAGTTCAGTTTGTTTTTCGTTCAGTAACGTTACCTGGCATAAACATGATGAGTGGTACAGGGGTCATGATCCTCTCTTCATTTCTAGCATTGATGGTTACGTACATTCTTGTTACCTTGTACAAACATAGAAAGGAGGTCCAAAGAGTATCTCACATACCTGGACGAAACTATCCCTTCAAACTATTGTTTATCCTCTTTCACAAGAATGACTTTTTCTGGAATGATAAAAAGCAATATCACAACTATAATGAATTTGGTCCCTACTGGAGAATTACAGTAGGAGACAAGACAATCTTTCACACATGCAAATTGGATCATTACAAGGAAATTGCCATCACTAAAACAAAATATTTTGAAAAGGATGAGGAAAAGTTTTTGGAAATTCAACCTTGTGGACCAACCAACAATGTTTTTGCATCGAGAGGAGGAGAATCTTGGAAGAGATACAGATCCATATCTTCAGTTAGCTTTACAGATTCCAAACTTGCAAACTACATGACTCCAATTAATGATATTGTAAAGAATGTACTGACCTACGTTGAAAACAATCAAAAGAATGAAATCAACGTATTTAGATTACTCAATAATGCAACACTAGATGTGATTGGAAGAATAGCATTTGGATTGGATTCGAATTGTGTTGGATGACAAGGAAGAATTACCAGAGCTATCCAGAAGGAACTTTCTGGCCGCTCAAATGGTCTTGATGATTCCAAAAACGGTGATTATCACCTTGGGAAGAATAATTCCAGCTTGGTTGTGGAAGGATGTCACAGATTCTTCTGAATTATTCCGTACATGGCCAGAGTACATTAAGAATTTAGTGTTGAGAGAAAAGGAAAGATTGGTAGAGAATATTGAAAATACTGGTCAGGCCTCAATTGATGTGGATAGAGATAATTTCATTACTCAACTTTTAAAGTATGAATCTCCAGAGTATGGTAAATTGAGCTTGGATGAAGTTGTATCTAATACTCATATTGTTCTATTGGCTGGTTCACGAACAACAGGCATAAGTTCAAGTTGGCTTATTTTCTTCTTGGCAAAACATCCTCAATACCAACAAAAGGTCTTTGAAGAAATTCAAGACTTTGTCAACTCATCCTCCTTCGAAACACGTGACTCTTCATCCTCTCTCAATTTGACTTTGAAAGATATTGATAATAATTTTGAATATTTGAAAATGGCCATGAATGAAACTTTACGTTTGCAAGCCTTGGAGCGCAACAGGAATGGCGAGGCATGGAAAAGGTACGGTGTGTAATAAAAATAGAATTGGCAAGGAACAGGGAAGGTTTGGTGACTTATTTTTAAGAAACGACCCAGGTACGGCAGAAAATAGGCACGGGAATAGGTTTGCAAACAAGGCATGGACACTTTTAAAATTTTTATAAGTCATTTCCACCGTTGAAATCCTTGCTAATTTTCTATAAAAGTACAAATAACACTTATTTAACAATAAATAACCAATATGAATTTTAAATTAATCGTACTATTATAGAATGAGTCCTTTACTACGTAAACTTAATTTTTTACCTGAAAGGGTTGAACAACTAGCGAATAAATAAATTATTATTTCTATTTTAATTTTTTTTATTGTAAAAGAATTTCAAAATTTTTAAAATTTATAATAATTCATGATTAACATAAATTGATTCAAGTAAAACTTGGAATCAATGTAAACTACTTGGCATCTAGCATTGATATCTTTCCAATCAACATTTAAATTGGAAGATTTCACTCTATTTAATTTTCTGAATTGACATACTTGGTGATAATCATTTGTAACAATCCACACCTTTCCAAATTTAACTGTATCTTTTGTATGTGATTGAATACATCCAATGTATAATTTTCCTTCTTGTTTAAACATTAAGTATTGATTTGGAGCAATTGCTNTA